GGTCTGGAGCTTGTGGGGAGGTCTGGCTGGAGCTGGAAACATGGGAATTATCTGGTTGGTGGGTTTTCTTTCTTTTGGGTCATATGCTCATAGGGGTCGGGAACCGAGTTGAATGTTTGTCACCTAGGTATGCATGCACAGGAAATTAATAAATAATTGGCAGGTGGGTGGGTCTGGGTGGCACCTTCATACTTCCTGTACAATAACAATCTGCCTCCTCAGGCCCTTCTGGCCCAGTAGCCAGTGAGGCCTCTGTAGAGACACCATTGGAAGAGACTGTGATCTTTAAAGACAGCGTGAGAACTAGAAGCTGGGAGTGGGCAGCTGAATGCCAATAGGGATATTACACCAAAGGACACTAATGGGTCAGGTGCAAACTTTTCCCTGTGTGCTGACCTTCAAAAAGCTTCTTTATAGTGTTGGCGGGGAGGTGCTCTAAAAAGCCAGCTAGCCACATATATACACAAATCAAAAAAGAAGCTAACCAAACCCACTGCCTCTCTTCCCAAGAACTAGCCTATGTCTTGGAGCAATGGTATTTCCTTTCTTGAACTTGAGGCGTTTTGTATGCTATTGACGAAAGTGCCAAGGAGCCCAATGTCAGTCATAATGGAGTCTGAGACCACAGGAAAATGTCAGTAATACTGATCCTGTCTTATTTACAAGTTGGATATTTTGTTCACTGTAGAGACTGTAAATCACCTTAGCTTTTAAAAGATAACCTCTTTAATCACCTACAAATACTTGAGGATATTCTTTGATCAAAATTATATTTCATTGAATTGTTGAAGCATTTCTGATTTTTAAAAATTTAACTGTATTTCATTTGGGAGCAGCAGAGACATTTATGTTATCACCATACTTGTAACTTGTGTTACAAGTTGCAATTTTCATCTGAAGTGGAATTTGATTCTTCTAAGTTTCCTTAGGCCATCATTGTTTTGAAGTCACATATACAACATGTGAAGTATTTCTCATTTTAGTAGTGTTCCGTAGAGAGGATAAGAAGTTGGCTGTTTTCTCACCCATTTCCCTGAATCTCACCCTACTGGTGATGTTCAATGCTTGCTTCTCCAACATTATTCATCTTTACTATTAATTTATGACAATTCAGGGGAAAAATATAACCAGCCTAGTTTGGTTGCAGGTACAAACTTGAATTTTCCTCTGCACTGAACTGAAAGTGGCATAGCTCATCAACACTGACTACATTTTGTGCAGCATTTTATCAGCCATAGAAATAAGAGAATCTGTAAAACTTTGTGGAGGGTGAGGGAAGAAAGGACAAAGTATCAAAAACAGATACTCCTAAAACAAGGTAGAGGTAGCTGATCTCTGTCACTGCTCGAGAAGACTCTGAGCTTGTGGTGGTTTGAAGACTTCATGACTTCAGCACTTTGCAATGTATTTGATAATTAAAATGTCCATTGCAATTTAATATTTATATCTGATTTTTGAGGACTCTGCTCTATGTCCATTCTGTTAACTGCAGGAGAAAAAATACATATGCCAATTTCTGTACGTCAATGATCAAGACTTGAAATGTCTGGAAGAAAATAAAAACAAGATTGCAGATTTGTTCTGTATTAGTGACATTCTAATACTTATATATTTGCAATAAATTTATGGCTTTTTATTTAAAAAAAAGATTGCATTAGGGGGCTGGGGATGTAACTGGCAAGGTGTCTGCCTAGCGTACACAAGGCCCTGGGTTTAATCCTCAAACCACCTCCCCCTACAATTGCACTAAAATGCTATCTCTATTGCTGAATTTTTTGGTAGACTGTTACATTTAATACTCAAAGTTGGTACTTCTCTTGCCTCACCCTCACCTCAGAGCTTGGCCCATGGCCCCTCCTCAGATCAGAGCCCTGACCATCTGCAATCAGATGAGTGATGATCTTTAACAATGAGTGTCATGGTTTTGCATCACCGATGTTAGTCAGCCTTCTGTCCTATAATAAATATCTGAGATAATCAACTTATGAAGAGAAAAGAATTATTTTGGCTCACAATTTTGAAGGTTATATAGTCCATGGTTGGTTGACCCTGTTGCTTTGGGCCTGTGGGTGAAACAAAACTATTGTGGGGGAAAAAAACAAAAAAAAACTATTCATTTCACGGCTGGGGAAGTGAAAAAGAGAGGAAGGGGCTGGGGTCCCACTGTCTTCTTCAAAAGTATGCCCCCAATTGCTTAAAGACTACACACTAGGCCCTCCCCTCTTAAAATTTTTACCACCTCCCAATATCACCAGTTTAGGGAAAAAAGTCTTCAACAGAAGGGCTTTGGGGGACTTTTAAGATCCAAACTATAGCAATCCAGTTTCAGGTCACGATGTCCCAGCCTCAGTCAGTCTCTACAAACCCTGCTTGATTGTCATCATGGATATATTTTTTTAAGATGCTCACCCCAACCATACCAGGATGTAGGTCTTGTGAAGACAGGGAACTTATTTGCTTTGCTCACTACTATGTTGGTGGTGCCTAGAATGGGGCCTGCTACAAAGTAAGTGCTCTAGAAAGATTTTCTGAACAAATAACAGCTAATGGTTATCAAGCAATTGACATAGACTGATCACCCTGTAGGAGCTCATTTAATTCTTGCAGTACTCTTGCAAAGCAGGTGTTATCCTAGTCCTCATTTTACAGATGGGGAACCTGAGGCACAAAGTGCTTCCATAACTTGCTTGAAGTCATATGGGAAGTTGGGATTTGAACCTGAGCATCTGGCGTTTAGAGCAGAGATACTCAGTCTTGGCATGATTGACATTTTGAACCAAGTCAGTCTCTGTGGTGGAGGGCTGTCCTGTGCATTGTAGGATGCTTAGCAACTTACATGATCTCCCTACTAGGAGTTATAGCATCCTTCTTCCAATTGTAACAACTAAAATTGCCTTCAGATATCATCTGGTGGGCAAAATTCACTTTCTCTTGTAATCACTGCTCTCTGGATTTTAACTGCTACACCACACTGCCTTTCGATAATGAATCGTCAGATCACACTTACAGGAGGCCATTGTTTGATCTAGGTTCCTGCACTAGGCCCCAACAGACTAGACTAAAAATCAAAATGGAGTCACTCATGCTTAAGTACCAAACCCAAACTAAGCTGTTTATCTGACCTTCCAAGAAATGAGGAGAATGAAAGATAACAGCCAAATTTTCTAAACAGGCCAGGTTCAACTGGCATGTTAATGAGGTTTTCTCCAACTTTGTCCTCACATAGAAAGAGGTAACTAAACCTGATGTGGCTGGTGGCCCTGGCTTGTAATCCCAGCTACTCTTTAGGTTGAGGCAGGAGCATCGCAAGTTCAAGGCCAACCTGGGCAATGTAGTGAAACACTATTTCAAAATAAAGAATAAAAATGGGCTGGGGATATCACAAAAAGGATTGAGGTGTGGCTCAGTGATAAAGCTCTTGCCTGGCATGTGGGAGACCCCGTGTTCAATCCTTGGCATGGACAAAAAATAAAAGATAACCTGTTAACCAACCAGCTGTTTTGCTACTGTTCTGTCTCCCTGTCCTGTACCTTACAAGTAAAGAAATTTTGAAAAGACAAATATTTTTGTTCTTTGTTTCTGGTTTTATCAGCCTTTTTCTGTCTATCAAACCAACTTCCTCTGCTGAGCCCATTGAAACACTCATTCTGTTTTGTGGAATGAAGTGTTGTTGGATTCTAGAACTGAAAATAAAGTCAATTAAGATCTTTAAACTGGGGCTGGGGTTGTGGCTCAGGGTAGAGCGCTTGCCTTGCATGCATGAGGCACTGGATTTGATCCTCAGCACCACATAAATAAATAAATAATTAAAGATATTGTGTCCATCTACAACTAAAAAAAAATACTAAAAAAAAAGAAAGATCTTTAAACTAAATTTCTGTGATTTCATTCTTTGATAAATCAGGTGAAGAAACATGCAGTTTCTTCCTGTCTCAGGGTCTGCCCCAACATGGATAAAGGGCACAGAGATCTCCATCCCAAAAGGTTTTAAGCCATTAAATTTTGGAGTGGTTGGCTTCTGGCGGAATCGGTAACCAAAACAGTCTTGCTCATCAGACTATCGGTCTCCCCCAAAGCAGGGACAGTGTCCTATGACTCTGGATCTCTGGTCCCAGCCCAGGGCAAGGTAAGGAACAAGTGCTCATCAAATATTTCTCAAGTAATTGAATAAAACCCATCAAAACTCATGTTCACCCTGAGATAGAATAGATTTATTAGCAAGAGGTAATCAGGAAACATATATTTTTACAAAAAATGGAAATTTCTTTTTCCAAACAAGCTGTAAGTTGAAATATTTTAGGACTTGAAATAGAATTCTCATACCACTAGGTATTGCTTACAGCAAAAGTTGTCTGTCTGTTGTAGTGGAGCATGCCTGCCACTTCTGAGTGAACCTGTGTTCTCTATACTGTACAATGTAAAAAATACATGGTAATATTCACAGAATAAGCACTACGTTACTATATTCCTGCTAGAAGGCATTTAGACAGGACTACAGTATATGCAATAAAAACACTTGGTTATTGATTTCCTAATTCTACAGTGTGGTACTAATTATCACAAGGTATACAGACTTAGAGCATCTCAAGGTAAGCTTGTAGTGACCGTCAAGGCGGCTCAAAGAGGAAAAGTGACATTTTTGTGTTCCTGACTTCCAGTGAGTGCTGGGCAGCCGTCGGCAAAGGTCGCCGCGACCTGGTGTGGTGACTTCCGTTTTCCTTGGGAAGTTCTAGGGCCTTGTCCACTTTGACTGAGACTGCTTTTCATGCTATCTAGTGTTAATCCTAGAGCGAGGAACGATGTGGTGCCTGACGTGGCAGCGTTGGTGCGAGAGGCGTGGTTCTCAGCAGAGAGGACTCCCTTCCAGCCAGGTTACTGGGGGACTTTTGAGACCTGCAATTTGGGCTGAAAAAGCAGCTTTGGAAGTTGGCATCGCCGTCAGCGGGAGAGTAGTCAATGACTGGACTTGAGGGTATGGCTCCCCCCCTCCTCCCCCCACCCCCCACCCAGTTATAACGACTATGTGGAACATGCTGGGAGGGTGCCTGGGGCGCCAACCCCACCCAGGGGCCCGGGCTGGGAAGGACGAAGCAGGATCGGAGTGTACGACTCGTGTTCCCGGGTTCTGTCTCCCCCTGAGAAGAGAAGAGCGAGGGTCTGGGAGGAGGGACAGCTGTTTGGAGGTAACAGGCACTGCAGAGGGGGGTGGGGGGCGGCAGAGTCTTAAACAGTGCAGAAATTCATATTCCGGTTCTACAGGAATCTAAGAACGAGAACGGATTTGTATTCTTGGAGAAGCACATACGGAAGAGGAAAATCCAGAGAAACCAAACGAATATGTACACTATCATATAGCACATGTCCAGGGGAGCGGCTAGGTCCCGGTGGGTCGGCTTCAGGTGGGAAGTTTTGGTTCTATTCGGAGAGAAGACTCGTAGAGGCTTTCTTCGTCCATTACAAACGATTGGTCCAGTAAGTATTGGGTTACCTGAGGGCAGAAGAGGGAGGGCAGGATTATAAGCCTCTATGGGAATCTATGGGACTATGACTGGACGCCAGGTGTCTCATGAGGCCCAAAGACTCTTGCAGGGGTTAGGCACATATAAGGCAAGAAATATGTTGGGTAATGTTTGTCTTAATATAATCTGTTTTAGTCTCATGTTTAACATTGTCTTTTTCTGTGATTGAAGCCCTGGGTGCAAGCACGGTGTTCAATTACCCAGTAGTATAAACCAAAAAACCATCAAGAGCCCCCCCAAATCCTTTGGAACATTGTTAGAACTTAAAGAATGCTGGTGAGGTGGGCATGGTGACCCACTCCAGCGACAGGAGGATCACAAATTTGAGGCCAGCCTCAGCAACTAAGAGAGGCTCTAAACAACTCAGTGAGACTCTGACTCAAAATAAAAAATAAGGGCTGGGGATGTAGCTCGGTAGGAAGTGCCTTTGGATTCAATCCCCAGTACCAAAAAAAAAAAAAAAAAAAGTCAGTGAGACTCCTATTCCTCAGGTATCAATCAGGTTATTAAAAGTCATTGAAAATACATATTAGTGTATTAATGCCTTGATGTTCCTTAGCATTCCCCCCTTTTGTTGTGGTATAGTATGTGTAAGATAAAATGCACTATTTAAACCATTATTAAGTGCACAATTCACCGGCACTAAGTGACAACTCTTTAAGTTACAAGTGTAAATATATGTGTATATAATGTTTTCTCTTATAAGGATAGTATTAAATTATTAGGACACAATTTTTGAGATGCAATTGTTGAATCTTAGAGGCAGGTGGATGGGCATTCACAGTTTTCTCAATGTTTCTGTTGAAAAGTTTCCTAATAAAATGTTTGGACAGAATGTATGCAAACATTAGGGCAAACTGTTGGAGTGTAAAGTCAGGAAGATTCACCCCTGTGAATTAGGTTCTTCTCTTCCTTCTCCCTCCCTACCCCCTCTTCCTCTTGTAAAGTAAGAAAGCAAAACTTAAATCTTGTGGGCAGCTCCCAGCTCCAACAGGGGTCTTTCCAAGATTCATTTGTCAGCTGTTTGGAGCAAATGTGCATTCCTCCACCCCCACCCAGAAACCTAGAGCAGAAATGGGGGAAAAAAAGTACTTCTTATTACACATTTGAGAATCTTCTGATAGTTGGGAAAGTCGAGCCTTGTGACTTGTCTTGGCTAACTGACTCTGCCACTGTGAGGGTTGAAACCAACCATCTAGGATGCTGATTAATAGTCACAGATGAGATGACTCTAAAGTTTTCTTAGGAGCTTACTCCCACCACCTCTAGGAAGATGACTTAAGATGTCACAGTCTGGTTTAACCCATACCCGTGGATAAAGATATGGTGATTTACCACCATGTGAAAGAGGCTAGTCTTTTAGTCTTAGCTTGTGCTCCATGGGAACATTCCTTTCTTTAATATACAATTCTCTATGTTCCCAAACCCTCTGGGGTTGAGCAGACTGATGAGTTAGTTTCTTTCCATAATGAGCATAGTCAAAATAAATTTCCCTCAGATGTTTTTCTTTAGTGGGATACTGGCTGCAGATACCACCGTGGCAAGGCTATTAATGAAAGAAGTTTGAAGAGCCATAATATTTACTTGTATTGTACATTAGAGCTTCAGGAAAAGCTTAAAGAAGTGTCTGGAGACAGAAGAAAATGCTGAATTTTTTTTTTTTTTGTGTGGGGTGGGGGGTACCGGGGATTGAACTCAGGGGCACTCAACCACTGAGCCACATCCCCAGCCCTATTTTGTATTTTATTTAGAGATAGGGTCCCACTGAGTTACTTAGTGCCTTGCTTTTGCTGAGGCTGGCTTTGAACTCTGGATTCTCCTGTCTCAGCCTCCCGAGCCACTGGGATTGCAGGTGTGAGCCACCATGCCCAGCCTGAACCCTGAAATTTTGCTGGCAAATTCTGAGACTTTCAGGGTACCATGTGACCACAATGCTTTCTAGAGGGAGCAGCCCCTGTGTGGTCTACATGGCAACGCTGGATGAACACAAACATAGTCCCCCAAATGCTGCTGAATCACATGGATAGTTTGTTTTAGTATTATTTTTTATTACAGAAGAAATGATGTGACTATATATATATATATATATATATATATATATATATATATATATATATGTTTGGTGCTGGGGATTGAACCCAGGGGTACTTTACCACCAAGCTACATCCCCAGTCCTTTTTATTTTTATTTTCAAGATAGGGCCTCACTAAGTTGCCCAGGCTGGCCTCAAATTTGTGATCTTGCTGTTTTAGCCTTCTAATTCACTTACCTATAATCTTCCAAGTATAGATGTGCACCATCCTTCCCATTTAGCATTTTTCAAAAAGATATGTTTATTTCTTGCCCAAGGGAGATCAGACACATCTGTGAACTATCCTTTGGGAAGTTAGATCAGAAAAGAATCATAAGACGGGTCTGATTTGAACAAGGGGCAGCTCTGACCAGGGGGACAGGGAGCAGGGACGCCTTCTTTACAGGGATGGCATAGTGAGCTGGGCCCACGAGGATTTAGGAAGGGAAAGCCCGCAGGCGTGCAGGGAAAAGGGCGGAAGGCTGTGCCACTGTGAAGGAGCTGGGAGTCGGTAAAGCTGGCCGCTTACCTTTGCTTGGTGCTCTATTTTGTAGGCAGTTTGTTGAAACTGGCGAATCTCTCGGATGATGTGGGATATCTGTGGGAGGGAAGGAGTTTTAGAAGACAGTCTGCTTTCTTAATTGTCCTTCTCCTCACCCTTTGCAGGACTGAAGAGCATAGTGCTAAGTCTGAAGTCAGACTCTCTTAACTCTATTCCCGTTGCCTCCAGGAGGGTCCCACTGAGGTACCCTATGGTTTTCCCTCTGTCCCTCCCTCCTTTCCTTCCTTCCCATTTTTCTCTCTTCCTCTCTCCATTTCTCTCTCTCTCTCTTTTTGTGGTGCTGTGATGGAACCCAGGGCTTCATACCTGTCAGGCAAGCTCTACCATGGAGCTGCACCTCACTCCATTTGTAGTTTTCTACTATTTTGGTACCAGGAATTGAACTTAACCACTGAGTCACATCCCCAGCCCTTTTTAAAATATTTTATTTAGAGACAAAGTCTTGCTGAGTTGCTCAGGGCCTCGCTAAGTGGCCGATCTCTAAGTGACTGAGATGGGCTTTGGACTCATGATCCTCCTGTCTTAGCCTTCTGAGCCGCTGGGATTATAGGCATGTACCACTACAACTGGCTTGTAGTTTTTTTTAACCTGTTTCTAAGAGTGATACTTGTCAAGTTTCTATGCACTGATTATGCTAATGATTGAAAGGAGGAAAAAAAAATAACCTCCCTCAGTCAGTGGCAAAAACTTTCAACATTGCTATACAAAACCTTTCAACAACAGCAAAAGTCGGAGGGATCTAGGTGTCTAACATGTGTAAGACACGATGTGAAAGTGCCCCTCACCAGGATGGGGCTTCTAACTTAGTTTTGATAGAGAAACACTTTTGATTAAACTCGGGGTCCTATTTTACAGCAGAGGCCCTCTGTTGAAGTGAGGTTGGGAAAAGCTGGAAGTCCCACTCCAGCTAGGAGAAGTTTTCTTGGACCCCTCCCACATCCTGGATTTTTTTTTTTTTTTTTGAGAAAATTTAGGAGGTGCTGCATAAGTGACTTTACTTTAGCCACATAAGGCAAGTGTTTCTATGAAAAATAATGGATGTGGTGTGAATGAAGGTGCAGGATTTGGAGTCAGACTGACCTGGGCTGCAGACCTGGCTCTGCCCTTGTGATGCAACCTTGAGCTGATCACCTGACCTCACCAAGCCTTAGTCTGTATAGTGGAGATAATAAGAGCACCTGCCCCTCAGCTTGTTGCTTAGCACCTACCAAATGCTACCATGCACCAATGACAGTGATGCTTCTTATTGGAGCAGCCCACTCTGGCTTCTGGTGGGGAAACATGTGGAGCAGGCTGAGTTGGGGGTGGAGCCTGGGTGGCTCCAGGTTGAGTCTGGGTTTTGGTTCCCCTCCCCCAACCATCCTCCCCCACAGCCACACCCGGAAACACACCATTCTCATCTTGGAGAAGTTGACCAGGCCGTCCTCCGTGTAATTGGGCGTCCCCTCCTCGATGAAGGCCAGGTCAGTGAGGTACATCCCCAGATAAGGGACACAGGGTGGGTCACAACTTGGAAGCAAATGACATTAACAAATGTTTTTCACTTAAAAAAAGAAACTTCTGCTAAGAACAGAACACTCCCTGCCCCCATGCATATTTTGCTTGGCTAGAGGCAAAGAATTTTTCTTTAACAATAATAATAGTACATAATAATACTGTCCAGTGGGCCTGGGGTCCCTCCTCTGGGGAGGGGGTAATGGGGTGCTGCTTGGGCCTCTTGCACAGGCTGGTCTGTCCCAACTGTCTCAATGAGTCAGAAGGCCCCCTCTACCTCTCTGCCCTACGTCCCAGTCAGAGTCCTTGGACTCTGCTGCCCCAGCTCCCTCCTGGTCCACCTTTGCTGTCTTTTCACTACTCTCCATCCAGATCCTACCCCGCGGGCTCTCCTTCCAGCCACCCTGTCCAGCACCCTCTCCCTCTTTGTTCCCTGACATTCATCCTCTGCCTCCACTGGGCTTGGGTTACCATAGCAAGAGACCTTGGCCTTCTGAGTTCACTTTCCTGGAAGTGGCTTCTGGGTCGGGTTTAGGTGATGTTTCCATGACTGGGGACTCCTAGGGATCTGCATTTTCAGGAGATGGGGCCTAGGTGTGATGGGCCGGCCACACCTTGGACTGATGGGCCCTGTGATGGAGTCCAGCAGCCACTATGCTCTGGTAGGACTCCCTTTAGCCCTTCAGGGGATTCCTCACACGGTGCTCTCAGCTCAGCACACAGAGGTCGGTGGAATTGCTGTGAGTGATGCAGGTGACCTTCATTTCCAGCCCAGCTTCCTGGTTTCCTCATGGCCATTTATAATCCTGCCATGCTGGAGGGAATGAGGCAGGTAGGATGGCAGAGCTAGAACAGAAACAGCCCTGTCCCTCACCTGCATGCTGTGTGACCTGGGCCTGTCCATCTCCTCTCTGGTCCTCAGGTTCCCCATGTACACTGGCACTGATGCCAGCTAAGACAATTTTAGGTGGCCTGGGAGTCGATTATTATTATTTTTGGCACTAGGGATTAAACTCAGGGGTGCTTTACTACTGAATTACATTCCTAGTCTTTTTTTGTAAATTTTAAATTTTGAGCCAGGGTCTTGCTAACTTGCTTAGGGCCTAGCTAAGTTGGGGAGGCTGGCCTGGAGCTTGTGATCCTCCTGCCTCAGCCTCCCAAGTTGCCGGCGTGCACTACTGCACTTGGCTCTGGGAGTTGATTTTAAGTGATACACATATTAAATAACATTGATTCACGTGGTAAGAAACTTAAGATTTTCAAATTTTCCCTTGGTGCTCCAAAACAGCCTCATTTGGGTAGCATGTCTTTGACACTTTCAACACTCATCGTTCTTTTCTCCCTGCTTTTCCTCCTTTTTAAACAAACAGTAACAAGTATCAGTATCAGAGTATTGGCAAGCATCAAAATCCAGACAGAATTTAAATTTTTTACCTGATAATCTTGTGTTCACAGTAAATATGCTGATTTTCCCATTGAGTGTTACCACATATAATTATCTTAAATTTATTTTTGGGAATAAGTGAGTTCAAGGAGATTACTAAGTAAATGCTAGGACAGTTGGCACATGGGCATGGCAAAGCCGTGACAGAGGCAGAAACCTGGTGTAAGAGAGCAGTGGAGAGAGGGCTTTCTGAGTCTTGGTCCTGTCATGGGAGTCAAAATCAACTTAGGAGGGTGTAGACTGGATTGAAAAAACGTGGAACAGATAATACCTGAGTTGACTGCATGGAATAAAGGTAGATATGTTGTTGAATATTTGTTCTTATATTTGGTACAAATATGCATTTGCACCCAGGATTGTAATTTCAAATTACACACATACACAGGCACACACACACTTTTTTTTGGGTGGGTGGTGCTAGGGCTGGAACACAGGGCCTCATGCTTGCTAGATAAATGCTTTAACACTGAGCCACAGTCCCAGCTCATAATATATCTATATCTATATATCTATACCATTTATTTCTCTCTATATTTTTAACAGTGAGCTATGATAAGATAAATGTAAGGCTCATCCTGGACCTTGGAGGACCTCCCTGGGTTCATCTGGCCTTTCTAGTGAGTGACTATCAGGTGCTCAGTCTTTATTTCTCTCTGTCATGCTCAAGTCTGAGGCTTGGGCTCATGGAGCTGATGGAGAAATAACCCAAAGACCTGGGACATGCCCTGGGGTTGGAAGTCTGGGGCATTTGGCTGTGTGCAGGTTCCACAGGATGCTCTCCCCCTCCACTGGTCACCTCCACATGGGATGGCAGCCAGATACCCAGGGGTGCTTGAAGGAAGAAGGGAGAAGGGGGCAGCTAGGGGATTGACAACGGGTCTGTGAACAATCCAAAGGGTCAGAGGGTTTCAAAAAGCCTTTTAGGTTCTCTGAATACTGAGACCAGAGAAAGAGATCAGGGGTAGATTTCCCTGAGGTGTTTATGGGGGTTCATGATCCAATGGTGAGAAGGAAACTTATTTGCAGTTTAATCATTTGCAAGAGTGCCAGCATCCCTATCAAATTCTGTCCCTATTTACTGTCTCATAGAGAGGGGCCTTGGATGAGGGGGCTAGAAAACAATATCTCCCCACGCCCAGCCCCATACACTCTCCCAGAATCCTGCAGGTAAATGTCTGGGGTTGACAGAGTGAGATAGAAGGCTGGTGGAGGGCTCCAAAGGCACCCTGCCTGGGGACTGAACCACTCTGAGCTTCTGAATGACAAGGGAAGTATTTTGGAGGCTCCATAGTGGCAAGATATCCAAAGACTGGCCTGTTCTAAACCTTCATGGGGGCATCTTGGCTATCTCAGGTGGGATCCAGCCTTGCCCCTGGCCAGGGTTTACCCAGCAAAGCTGATTGTGGGGGTGCTTCCTCTGTTGGCAGAGCTCTTTCTTGCGTGCCTATAGCAAATGTTTTAGGGGGCAGAGCAGGAAGCACCCCACCCCATCCTAAGAGCTGCAGCTGGCTTCCTGGGCAGTGCCTTATGGTGGCACCCTAATGCCTAGTGACACCTGGCATCTGAGCCTTGCCTGTGGTCATTCTGAGTCCCCAGGCTTGATTGATGTTTCTTTCTATCAAGAAGTTCTTGATGATGTCAGGTGAAATAATATAATGGAGGTCAAGCTGTGCCAGGTACCGAAAGTGAGTCTGTTCCGCCTGCTCATTGCCAAGCCTCAGGAAGTAGGCCCATGATATGGCATCCCTGTCCTTCCCTGACCCCTGCACCTTCTCCCACCCCTACATCTTCTCCCTTCCCTGGGTCGGGTCATCAGTCTCTGCTGGTGTGGTTGGGCACCTCCTTTCCTTCTCCTATCTCAAGGCCTGGTGAGGGGCATTCAGGGAGGGCTTGAGGGGCACTTGGGGCTGGGCTCTGTGGGCTAAATCCCTAAGTTTCAGGGTCCAAAGGTCTGGCATGAATTATAAGGCAATTAGGACCTTGGACTTTGCAAGAAATATTTCAGTGTGGTGGGTTGGAAGCCCCATCTTGCTTTTTGCCCCCTAGGTTCCAAGATAGAAATAGGTACTTGACTTTGCTGAAGCCTCAAAACTCTGGAACTCTGGAACATCAGCCTTTGGATTCATGGTATTCACAAAGATAAACAGATTGTTACCCCATTTAAAGAGTGTAGGGGGATGGCCTGATGGTCAGCTGGCTGTCACGTTCCTCCAGGGTAGTTTCCTTTCTTAATTTAGGGGAAGAACGTACAGTAAAAGGCTGTCCTCTGTATTTCTCTAAATCAAGGACTTCCTGTTCTAATTTAAGACAAATGGTACAAATATGCAAATGGAGAAGTCAAAACCAGAAATGACCAAATTTTACTGCTAAAATTTAGTGCACGGAGCTGTTCTGATCACTGAGAAATTGTCATGTGGTGACAGTTTTGTGGGCTTTGCAAGGGTGTAGGTTCAAGGAATAAGAAGGGGTGCTAATGTCATTCTTAAGGTGGCTAGGCAGGAAGCTGAAGGGGTACCCTTGGTGAGGGTTGTAGGTGGACCAGGGGATATTTAGGAACTTGGCTGGAAGGCTGGAGTGCAAGATTTGGGAGTAAAGCCTTGGCAGGTAAAGGCAGTGAGTCCATTCTCCAGCCTGGTGCTGGCACAAGAGTGGAGATTTTAATGACAGGACATAGGAATGGGGCTGAGAACCCACCCAGTGAGATCCATCCCAGGGTCTTGTCTGGGTGGATCACCAACTATGCCTGCAGACTGCTAACTTGTTTCTTCTGCCCATTGTCCCCTGCCTGCTGAGACAGGGTTCACCCAATGTCGCTCTACATGAAACCTTAGAGCCTTAGAAGAAAAGGAGCAGGGCGGGCTTGGCCCAGGCTCTCTTTGCCTCCTTCCTGTGCACCTCTGGCCCTACAAGGTCAGAACCTGGTTTACATAAAGGTCTTAGCTCCCAGATTGCCCAAAGGCTTTGCCCTGTGCTATAGCCGAGAGGCCTGGGGGTGGCACTTACACAGGCCCACAGGTAACCTGAAAGAGGGAAGACAGTCAGGATGGGGACTCAGACAGAATGGGGGGCCACGGAGGCAGTGGAGGTGGCGGTGGCTGCGGCAGACGAAGAAGCCATGTGAAGGAGGCGGATGGAGCGGCGCCCGGGGGCAGACGGACAAGTTGCCGAATGCATGGTGGGGCTTTTCCCCACAAGCACAGTCCACAGGGGCTCCAGGGAGCCCTGGCGGAGGAGAGACGGCCGGACAGCACAGATGGGTGGAACATCTGTCTAAGGACACAAACAAAGTGGAGATGGTCAAGGCAATGATACACGAAGCTGGCGAAGGACGGATCAAGTAGGCGGGAAGGAAACAAGAAGGGGAGGCAGATGAGGCCAGCAGAGTAGGAGTGGGCAGGCATCAAAGCCACTGTCAAGGGCTGGAGGCTTTGGCTGTCCCAGTCCCAGGTGCCAGGGGTGGGGACCTCCAGTGGGACCTCTATCGGCAGGGGTCATGAGATCCCTCACAGAAGGGAGGAGGATTCCTGACTCTATAGGGTACCAGCACTCCAGGTCTCCCAGGGCCTCTCAAAGTTCCAGTGAGTAGCCAGCCAGGCAAGGAGGGAAAAGAACAGTCAACAATGAAAAGAGGGCAGAGCCGTGCGGAAGTCTGAAGGACGCATCCAGTGGCAGCGGCACATGCAAAGCCCACATTTCACGAGTGTGTGGCCACAGTGCGCAGTGGGCGGAGCCACTGCTTCCCTGGAAGAGGCTGCCCAGACCTCATGGGACACAGTTCAAGGGAAACCTCAGAGCACTGGCCTTGGAGGCCTGCCTGGGCCGAGTCTGGGCTCCAGTGCTACAGCCACGTTTCCTTGGCATAAGCCACTAGCCCCTCAGCTTTTGTCTGGAAAAACAGGATGGGAAGAGCTGCCTTAGGGTAGTAGTTCTCAGGAGGGACAATTTCAGCAATGTCTGGAGACATTTCTGGAGGGGGCTCTTAGCATCTCATGGGTAGAAGCCAGGAATGCTGCTAAGGATCCCATAGTGTATAAGATAGCCCCTACAACCGAACCATCCTGGTCAGAGTGACAAGAGTGCGGGGTGGAGAAACCTGCCTCACAGGCAGTGTTGAGGGGTAGAGAAGGCTCTTTGCAAACAGGTGTGATTTTTGGTAAAAATGTATTTCTTTGATTCTGAGATGCCACTGTCTGTAATCTGCACTCTTGTTTTGATGACTCATTTTCAAGAAAAAAGAAAAGACAACCACATTAAACACATTGACTTGAAGACATACTCTGAGGTCAGAATTCTTAAAAGAAAAAAAAAGTGCATTGAGAATCAAGGAATCCGGCACCCCTATTGTCATTAGCACCACCACCATGCTTCTGGGGATTCCAATGTCCCTCCTCTGCTTCTCTCAGGAAATGCTACCAAACCCTTGAGTTTCTCTGGTAGAGGACAAAGCTGACCCTTCTTTGGGGTCAGGGAATCCTAGGGGTCTTGTGGGAAGACAGAGGGAAAGACAGACAAACAGACCTCCTGCTCTGGCTGGTGTGGCATGTGGATGTCTCTGCAATGCAGTTCTACAACTTTAAACAGAAAAGTGACAAAATGACACATAACTTACTTTTTCAGAGCTTCTCTGAGATTCTTAAATCTGCCCTCTGATGACACAAGCTTTTGGAGCTTATCAATCAAAGCTTTTGTCTAGAAGGAATTAGAAGCATTTACTAACACACAGCACACATCAAGGCCCATGGCTCTGGCCCACACTTCAGCATGCTGTCCTCCAGGGTGCCAGAGCCACATCTGCTTTGGATTTGGGAACTTTTTGTGTCTGGCAACCTTGCCCCCACCTCCTTAGGAGTCAGGCCTGGGCCCTCCCTGTGTGTGTTGGTCCTCACACACATTTCTCAGAGTACAGAAGTGGGAGCCTGAATGTGCTATAGTCCTCAGAAACACTGCTGGATCCTAAACCAGGTAGTGAGAAGGATTTGGTGGGTGACTCCAAGAAGCCTGTGTTCTGAGCAGGAAATGGCTGATTTTCTATTATCATACTTCACATGAACTCTATCCAAAGGATGTGACCATCTTCTCACACCTTCACTCTTATGTGCCAGAAACACTTCCAAATTTAAGACTCAAGACAAAAGATGGCAGATGAATTGATCATCAAAGAAGACAAGGCCTGGGTGGAGAAGAGGAAGCCCCAGGTTGAAGGGTTGCCACATGATCATCCCAGGCCCAGCCCACCCATCAGCTGGAGCCGAGTTCCAGTGGCTGGAGTTTGCCTGAAGAGACCAGTGCTGTGTTGGGTCTGGCTTGCACTCCTTTGCAGATGTGGTCTAAGGGAAGTCCCTTCACTTCTGGGGTTCTCAGCTCCATCATTTATAAAAGAGTGAGATGATTTGTGACGTCCTTTCTAGCTCTGGTCCTCAAAAATCCAGAATGTGGCTGAGAAACTATGCTGGAGAATGGCCATGGGCCACCAGACGCACTCATCAGCCTGGAAGAGGTCACGGCCATAGATGTGCTGGGTCAGATTTAATCTGAGAAATAAGCCCATGAATGACAAACTAAGTATCCATGCTGATGGAAGATGGAATCAATGTACACCCTTTGAGGGAAAAAAAGGGCAGAACACCCCATTTGGTTTAGTGCCTCATCAACAAGGAGAAGAAATATTAGTGCCTGGTGTGGACTGACTCTGATCAGAACACAAATGTATTCTGGATATGGTGACAGAGACATGCACCAGGATGGCACCACCCATACCAAGTCAGGTGATTCTGCATTCCTTGAGAGTCTGCTCTCAGATGCCTGACAAAGCCTATCTACGCAGGCCAACCTCTGCCCAGGGCCTCTGCTTCCTTCCTGCCTTGATCCCTTCCCAGAGCTGCACCCTCCTTCCTCTTCTTGTCCACCCACCTTCAGAGGAATGACCTGAGATGACTTGAGGTCAGATGTGGGAACCGAACATCAGAAGACCTGGGGCCTCCCTGGACTCTGTCACCCACCCTTGACATGTCCATGGGCAAATCACCACTCCACGCATCTTGATGGGCCTCAGTCTCTCACCTAGGAAATGAGAAGGGTGATCCAAGTGTTCCCTAAGAGCAGAGCTAGTTCAGATATTGTAGAGTTTTGGGAGACACAGAGAAGCTAGATCAGAAGGTCCTGGTGGCCACATACTTCTGGGTGAAGTGTCACTGAGCTTTGAGGCCATGAAAAGGTACAGTGGCTGTTCTGAGACATGGTTTTTCTGAAAACATCTGGGGCCAACTATGTCTCTGAGCTGAGCCCATTTTTTTTTTTAAAGACACAGAGAGAATTTTAATATTTATTTTCTTTTTAGTTTTCGGCGGACACAACATCTTTGTTTGTATGTGGTGCTGAGGATCGAACCCGGGCCGCACGCATGCCAGGCGAGCGCGCTACCGCTTGAGCCACATCCCCAGCCCATGAGCTGAGCCCATTTTGATCCCTTTCATATACATGTGAACTCTGTTGTGTCTGCTCCTTTTTAAGCTGTTGCTTTCTATCCAGGAAAGAGCCACATGGGCTGGGAGGCCACAGAATTTTCCCAAGTGCTACTCAAAAAGTATGTTTCAGGGCTGGAGTTGTGGCTCAGTAAAGCGCGTCCCTCATATGTGTGAGGCACTGGGTTTGTACCATATATAAATATACGAATAAAATAAAGGTCCATCAACAACTAAAAAAAAAAAAAAAGTGTGTTTCACTCTGAAGCAGCTCAAGTATCTTCTGGTTGGGCTGGAGGTTGTCATCTTTTGATGTTCCGTGGGGTACCAGGCCCTCAATCCTGGGCATTTCTGCTGGAATATGGATGCCAGTGGGCAGAAATGGGGCAGGGCTTGAATTATGCCAATGAAACCAGGGATCAAGCAAAGACTCTGCCTTGGAGGCAGTGTCAGGAAGAAAGATGGCTATATGGCCTCCAAATTCCCACCCCTTCCTGTTCAACAAATGGAAGACTCTAGAGGCCAAGAATGTTTCCTCCCAAAGAGGCCAAAATGTGTTGTTAGCCAAAAAGAAGCTTTTGTCCCCATATATACAACCATCCTGGGGCAGCAAACGAAACCATGTCACTCATCAGTGCCATCCTCTCCTGCCATCCTATCACTCATCAGATCCTTTCTGAAGAAGCATAATTATTGGCAAAGAGGAGGGGAGAGAGGTTGAAAGAAGAGAGGAGAAATTGAAATTCCAAAGTACAATTGATTGCTTGTTTCTTGTCCAGGACTGCACTGGACTTCACAAAATGCTTTTCTGCTTTGGGCCAGCAGATTTAAGAAACTGATAAAAATGAGCTGCTTAGACTGTTTCAGGCCTCTAAGAAATATGGCCATTTTGATGGGTTACAAGTGTCCCTCAGATACCTGTAGTCATACAATGAATTGCCCCTGGCTGGTGCTGATCAAGCCGTGGCCAGGGACTCCCAGAAGCCCTTGTAGCCAGGCATTGTGCAGATACACAACTACCGTGCACAACTGAGGGCTGGGAGAAGCTGCTGCAGAGGGTGGAGGCCTGGACATACTGCCAGAGGCATCTTTGGTTTTTGGACCAGTTCCTGAATGACATCCTAGAATGCAGGCCACGCTACATACACTGATCACACTAACTTCCCTTGATTTTCACTCTTGGGAGTGAATGGTAGATTCAGGATGGCCAAGGTGGATCCCTCCCAACTCCTTGAGGAAGGTGATACTGTAGAATGAGAGGCCAAGAGATGTAGAGTATAGGTTCCAGGAAGATCCCCATGGGGAGGGAAAGTGAAGCCTGGTCTGGGGAACCCCTGGAATGATGATGTAATTCTGATAGTACAGGATAGGAAGAGAAAGATATTGATCTGGATGAGACCCCCAGACCCTGCTGCCTGAACCCTGGTAGGCCAAATCAGCCCAGATGACTTGGTGGCTCTGCAGAGCTCAAACCTGACTTCACCAGTTTATGACAGCATGTGCCATGTGTGGCTGGATGTCCCTGCAGCCCTGATCTCCTGTGTCCCCTGCCTCTGTTCTTTCCTGAGCCCACTAACAACAATGGCATCTTTCATGGTTCTTATCCTGATCTTGGCATCTTTGTGGGCCAAGAAGCGAGCAGTCCAACCTTCACGGGATGCAAGGGCTTATCCCTGCACCTCTGCAGCCCTGCTGCAATCAGGGCCTACAGTGACTGAAAGGCTGGGTCAGGGCACCAGAGATGTCCCAGGACTTTCCTGATTTGGCAGCTTATCTAAGTAGGAAGGATTTCTGGATCTGCTTCAGGATTGGTAGGTAGGATCATGACCTGCCATTGGCATGAAGAGGGTAGTGAGGGGCAGATGATAAAAAGAACAGTGAAGGGGACACAGTATGCAAATTCAGAGTGTGCAGATGAGACAGGCCCCTTGGAGACACTGGGTCCTGCATGCCCACCCATTTGAAGGACCACAGACACTGTTGCCAAGGTATCAGTGCCTTTAGAGGCTTCCCCTATCCATGGTGGTTAGGCTGCTTGTCCAGCCTCTTGTGGACACACAGGCTGGGGTTGGGACATCCACCATGTATACCAGGTAAGTGATCCAAGTGCCTCATTATGACCTCCTTTAAGGAAAGCTACCCAGTCATGACCCTTTTATTCCTGAGAAGGAATTCACCTTATAGTTTTTCAGAATCATGTTCTGAATGAACAAAGACCAAACTCACATTTAAGATGATGAATTACCCCATGAGTAACAGGGACCAAGTAATTTTGGTGGCCAGAGGGCTGGTGAAATCAGAGTTTCGACAAGGGATCATTTATCCTATCCTCAGCTGCACTGAAGATCTGGGCTGAGATATCCATAAAGACACCACTTTTGTTCCAATCCAAGAAAAAGAGTGTTGAGGCCAATAATCACTACTTCCCACTTCCCACATTGGGGTATTAATTACTCACGTAAGAATTACATCTCACAGGGCCCACTCCCACATTTGTGGGCCTCATATCTGGTCCTGGTTGACATAGGGGATGTGACTCTGTTTTGCCTGTGAGTAAAACATCCCAGTCCTTTACCCTCCTCTGGATGCCCAATGGCCAGCCCTCTGGTCTTCCTGCCCCAACCCCAGCCCAGCCCCACGTGGCAACAGTGCCAGCCTCTTGCCTGCACCTGCTTAGAGACTTTGAGCCATGTCTTTTTGAGCCGGAAGATTGCACTCCGGTTCATGGAGGAGGTGATCTCCAGCACGGCGTTGTAGTTGTGTAAGCAGCGACATATGTCAGCCACAGCTACCCACTTCTCGATGGCGCTCACCCTTGCATTGATGTCCTCATTGCGGATGATTTCTGAAGCGATCAAGTTACTGATCTTTAAGCCAATGCAATGAGACAGGAAAAAAATAAGAGGAATAATTATTATAAAGATGACAAAACATGATTGTTTGCAGATATGACTGCCTTTTGAAAATGGCAAAAGAATGAATTGGAAACTTCAAGAACAAGAATAGAGTTCATTGGGGTGACTGGTTAAGAACTCAATATACAAAAATGAGAAGTTTTATTTAAGTTGGCAATAACTAATTTGAAAATACTATGAAAACAGATTATCTTCAAAATAACAATGGGGATTTGTAGTTACCTAGGAACTTAAATAATTTAGAATCATGTAGGATTTTACATGGGCGGGAAAAGACACAAACCAAAGGGTATAAAAGTCTTGAAAAATGGAGAAAGAGATCACGTTCCCAAATGGGAATGTAAACATACAATTTTTCTCAATACATGAGTTTTAATGTAATCAATTAAAACCCAGTGGGAGTTTCCTCTAGAGCTTACAAAGTTCTAGATTCTAAAGTTTATCTGGAACAATCAACAGTTACAAAGGGCCAAGCTTTGAGGGAATCTCCCTCCATATGTCCTGCTTGGTTAGACATACAGTCTGAGGCTTTGCTCACCTCACATACACAGTAGAAGAGACCTCAACCCAGCCAATAATCACATTCCACAAATAATTCAAGTTTGGATTGTATTTTGAGTAGCTAGGAATGTGGGAAACTGGGGCCAGACAGCAGGGAACTAGAATTGCAAGGAGTTGGTGCAGCATGAAGCACCAACCTCTTTGCAATTTCTTTGCAACTTCCTATGAATATAATTATTTTAAAATAAAAGTAAAAAAAGACGAATTTTTAAAAAGGTGATAAAAGAATATTTGCAGATGAATAATAGTTATGGGGTTTTACTACCAAATCTTATCAAAAACAATTTCTTCATCTTTTTTTTTCTTTTTGACATGCTAGAGATTAAATGTAGGGCTTTGCACATGCTACGTAAGCTCTCTACTACTGAGCTACATCCACACACCTAAAACAATTTCTAAAGATTTCTAAAAAAGGTACTGTAGAACTACTTAAGCATGTAAAACTACTCAAGAGAATCAGAAGGGAATGATAACATAAAATAGTGCATGTATTGTATCTCCTAATAAATTGAAGTACTGCTTAGATTCTTAATCTCATAGCAGCTGGTTTCTGCTATGCTCTTCTACTTTTTAGACTACACACACACACACACACAAATAAATAAATAAATTGAAGTAGTAGTTAAAATATCTTTCCATCAAGAAAGCACTGAACTTGAAAACAGTTTTACATAAAAGTTATACTAGTTATTTTGTATGTTTTGGTATTGGGGATTGAACACAGGGGCTCTTTACCACTGAGCTTCATCCCCAGACTTTTTTATTTTTTATTTTGAAACAGGGTGTCACTAAGTGGCTGAGGCTGGTCTTGAACTTGATATTCTCTTGCTTCAGCCTTCTGTTGTTGGGAATTACATGTGTGTGCCACTGGGCTCAGAAATACTATTTTTTTTTTTTAAGAAGAAAGAGAAAGAGAATACCTGCTAATTTATTCTATGATGCCAGCATTACCTTGATACCAATACCAGAGATGGACAACACAAGAAAGGAAATGACATATCTGTTTATACACCACAATCACATTGGGTTTGTCCCTGGGACGAAAAGATCTTTGATTATTAGAAAAAAAGAGTGTACAGAAACCAATCCACAAAACTACAACTATCTTATATTTGATAAAGGGGCTAAAAGCATGCAATGGAGGAAGGATAGCATCTTCAACAAATGGTGCTGGGAAAACTGGAAATCCATATGCAACAAAATGAAACTGAATCCCTTTCTCTCGCCATGCACAAAAGTGAATTCAAAATGGATCAAGGAACTTGATATCAAATCAGAGACGCGCCGTCTGATAGAAGAAAAAGTTGGCTACGATCTACAGTCGGTGGGGTCGGGCTCCAAATTCCTCAATAGGACACCCATAGCACAAAAGTTAATAACTAGAATCAACAAATGGGACTTACTCAAACTAAGAAGTTTTTTCTCAGCAAAAGAAACAATAAGAGAGGTAAATAGGGAGCCTACATCCTGGGAACAAATCTTTACTCCTCACACTTCGGATAGAGCCCTAATATCCAGAGTATACAAAGAACTCAAAAAATTAGACAATAAGAGAACAAACAACCCAATCAACAAATGGGCCAAGGACCTGAACAGACACTTCACAGAGGAGGACATACAGTCAATCAACAAGTACATGAAAAAATGCTCAACATCTCTAGCTGTCAGAGAAATGCAAATCAAAACCACCCTAAGATACCATCTCACTCCAGTAAGATTGGCAGCCATTAGGAAGTCAAACAACAACAAGTGCTGGCAAGGATGTGGGGAAAAGGGTACACTTGTACATTGCTGGTGGGACTGCAGATTGGTGCAGCCAATTTGGAAAGCAGTATGGAGATTTCTTGGAAAGCTGGGAATGGAGCCACCATTTGACCCAGCTATTCCCCTTCTTGGTCTATTCCCTAAAGACCTAAAAAGAGCATGCTACAGGGACACTGCTACATCGATGTTCATAGCAGCACAGTTCACAATAGCAAGACTGTGGAACCAACCTAGATGCCCTTCAATAGACGAATGGATAAAAAAAATGTGGCATTTATACACAATGGAGTATTACTCTGCATTAAAAAATGACAAAATCATAGAATTTACAGGGAAATGGATGGCATTAGAGCAGATTATGCTAAGTGAAGCTAGCCAATCCCTAAAAAACAAATGCCAAATGTCTTCTTTGATATAAGGAAAGTAACTAAGAACAGAGTAGGGACGAAGAACAGGAGAAGAAGATTAACATTTAACAGGGATGAGAGGTGGGAGGGAAAGGGAGAGAGAAGGTAAGGTAATGGAAGGAGACCCTCAGGGTTATACAGTGGAGGGGGTAGAGAGAGAGGAGGGGAGGGGAGGGGAGAGGTGGGGAGGGGGGAGGGTGGAGGATGGGAAAGGCAGCGGAGCACAACAGACACTAGTATGGCAATTTGTAAATCAATGGATGTGTAACTGATGTGAATCTGCAATCTGTGTATGGGGTGAAGGTGGGAGTTCATAACCCACTAGAATCAAAGTGTGGAATATGATATGTCAAGAAATTTGTAATGTTTTGAACAACCCACAATAAAAAATTAAAAAAAAAAAAAAAAAAAGAAAAAAAGAGTGTAACTGTCATTTACCATATCAATAGACTAAAGGAAAAAAACCACATGACCATTTCAATAGCAGGAGGAAAAATACTTGATAAAAATCAATATCCAGCTAGGCATGCTGGTGCATGCCTGCAATCCCAGCTACTCAGGAGGCTGAGGCAGGAGGATCAAAAGTTCAAGAAGTCCAGCATAGGCAACTTAATGAGACTCTGTCTCAAACTAAATAAAACATGGGGATGTAGCTCAAAGCGTGAGGCCCTGGGTTTAATCGTCAGTAACACACACACACACACACACACACAGAGTCAATATTCATCATGGGAAAAACTTCTAGCACACAGGAGTAGAAAGGATTTAAAAAAAAACCTTGATAGAAGAGCAAACACCATCCTACATGGGGAAATAGCAGAAACATTCCCTTTAACACTAAGAACAAGACACCTGTCACTGTGTCCATTCCACATTGTCCTGGAAAGCATGGGGACGAGGATGAGGCACCTGAGGCCCCAATGTGCAACTGCCAGGAGGGTGAATGGCTTCTTAAGCTTTGCACCCTGGCCACCTTGCTTGTCTCCCCCAGGTCTAGCCCTCATGCTGGAGATCTTAGCTAGTACCAGTCAGAAGGACGAAGACATGGAAGGCAGAAGGGCTGGAAAATAGCAAAGAGAACTGTTCCTGGGGGACATTAAGAAAGCCACCGTCATCGAGACACACATTCTGTGTCTCAGGATACAGAATGATTTAAACACAGATGGCCAAGTGCCAAGGAGTGACGAGGCAGCCTCTGGAGGCTGTCCCTGGGTTCAGAGGGGACTTTCCTGCTGTGTAATGTGGGCGATGCAATTTAACTTCCTTGAGTCTCAGTTTCTCCCACTATAAAATGAGAATAGCAAAGTAAATGAGATGATGTCTATGAAACCCTTATAGCATAGCACCTGTCACACAGTAAAAAGTGAATGATCAGTTTGTGTTCTTGTCTTGTCCTAAACAGTCCTGTGCATACAGTGGGACAGCACAAGGAGAGGACAGTGTCGGGCTGCCTGGCACTGTGCACGTGTGTGTAAGGCATGGTCAGACCCAGGCCTCTAGCAGCCTGTTTGCTAAAGCTTTGTCTGGTCTCCATTGCTCTCTGTCCTGGGAGACACAGGGGTAGCCATTCTGCTCTCTGTTCAGGGCAGAAAACCACCTGGTGCCCAGGACTGGAAGGCTCCAGATGGCTCCTCCCCTCTGCTGTAATAGTGGGTCTTTTCTGTTCCTCCTGGCTGCCAAGGACCCACCCAGGATGGGCTGTGTGTGCCTGGGGGCCCATCCCCTGCTGAGGTTAATGCGTAGAGCCCTGGCAGGCGGTCAGGATAAGTGGAATCATGTGCTCCCACCTCCACCCATCAAAGGCTCTTAGGTTGATGATTAAACTCAGAGGAATGAAGATGCTGAGTGCAAATTGCTCTCAGAGCTATTACGAGGTTGGGTGTGGATGGGTCCCAAGGATCCAGTGGGCAGACCTTGAGCAGATATGGAGAAGTTGCTGGGAGAGAGATTTTCTCACACGGGCCATCTTCCACAGTGCAGGCACGGGAGGTATGCTCGGCCACACACTCTGCTAGAGCCTCAGCTTCTCAGTGTCTCAAATGTGAGAACAGCCCCCATCCCTTAGGCTTGGTGTGAGCTTTAAATGAGATTATTATGCATGTAAAGCGCAGTGCTAGGCACCAGGCAGGAACTCAACCAGGGGCAACTACTACAGGGAACTTTGCCAACACTCCATGCTGAAGAGACTTTTGCCTTAGCAGACTGAGACCTGTTTGCCCTCTGATCTCTGCTGCTCTCATGTTTTTCTGAGATGGGCTTCTAGGAGCTGGGTTTATGGGATGCTCCTGTCTGATCTTAGTGTCCTAATCAGAGTTAGCCCAGGTCCTTTGTGCTATGTACACGGGGCTGCTTTGCTGTTTTGGTATCTCTACAGTTCATCCCCAAGAAAGCATAGGGGGTGGGAGTAGGGGATAAAGTAGGAGACAGAGACTGGCGGAGTCAGATACCAGGCCATCTTGATCTTGCCCAGGGACACTTACAAGCCCTTGGCTTCAACCCAGCCTTGCCCCTTAGTGGTTCTGGGTCTCTGGTCTCTTTAATGTGATCCTGTGGGGTCCAGTTAACCATCATGAAAGTCAAGAGGGTGGTAAGAACATCATTTCATCACTTCCAGGGTACTTTAAGCCCCTAGCCAACATTTCAGGAATTTCGGAGGGTGCTGGGTAATGTGTGTATGCATTAGAGGGAGGTTGTCTGCCATTCCCCAGCCTAACAGTCCTTGTTTCTGATACTGAGTTGAGGTTAAAAGGTAAGCAGCACAGCAAAAGCACAACCCTTTCCTTCCTTCCTTTCCATCAGGCACATCACCACATCTGCTCTCAGGTGACTCCTCTCAGTAATCACAGGCTTGAGGGAGGGCTCCCCGGGAACCAAGGCTGGGCTGAGTGTCTTTCTCTGATTGTCCCTGTTAATTGTCATGTGACCTTTCAGTGGTCAGCCCATTTATTAGGTGGAGAAACTGAGACTGAAGTCACCAGCCCAAGGTTATATGGCTGAGGGTGGGGACACCAGAGAGGACCCAGGTGGCCTGGCTCCTGCCAGTGTACAGCCTGCCCTCCACTCAGCCCTTTGAGGGTCCTGCTGAAGAAACTCTGGGCAGAGAAAGATGCTGCTGCCCATACGCACATCATTGAAGTGCTTGGTGGTTTTCATGATGTAAGGCGTCCTTTCGTTCTTCTCCAGCTTCATCCAGCCCTGTCCGAAGAACTCCCTGCAGGAAGGAAAGGGAAACCCAGGGTGGTGAGGTGCTGGGGATTGAGTACTAGGCACTCTACCCCTGAGCTCCACCCCCAGCCCTCTTTGCTTTTTGAGGTTGCCATTTATGGGAGATTTACCTTCCTCAGAGCTCTGGAGAGGAAGGAACCCTGGGCTGGAGTCTAGCTCTGCCTTGTATTGGTTGTGTGGCTTCAGGAAAGCCCTTTATGCCTCAGGGTCTAGTTCCCCCAACTGTAAAATGGGAATAACCAGGGCAGTTTCCCCACAGGGTCACTGTGAGGCTGAAACAAGACAAGGCTTGGGAGGATCATCCTCAGCTGTGAGGGGGGCACATTAGGTCTTGTCAGGGGTCTTGCTCGCTGTAGGGAGAACTCACATTTTACTGACTCTGCAGGGATTTGTCTGTGGAATAGGGGCAATTGAGGCCACAAAAAAGGACCGGATAGAAGGACAAGGTTGCCTTCAAGCCAACCCAGCAGCACAGAGGACCTCAAGGAAAGCCACAGGCTGCTCAGGCTCCTGATTGGATGGAATGGTGAGGAGATGCACCTGGCAGAATCTCAAGGGCAGCAGGGCTGGGAGGAGACAGGCTGGGTGTGAAAACACATCCTGCTTCTCCTCCTGGAGGAAGCACATCAGAAATGATGACTATTTCTACATCCGGGGATGTGGCAAGTTTTCAAAATGCCAGTGTCCTCATTTAGGTAAGGCTGAACTCTGGGGGGTGAGGGCTGTGAGGGTGCCGGGCCCCCTTTCTGGAAAGCAGAGAATGAAAGCCCTTCATGACGTGTAGCTTCTGATCTGGAGATTCCAGTTTGGGGAAATTATTCTGGAACAACTGTCAGAAGTTCAGAGAAATATTTTGTTACAAGGATGTTTGGTTTTAAGTTCAGTTTTAAATATAAAAGTGAAAAGTGAAAACCACCCTGTGACTTTATAATGCTGCTAGGGAATTCTGTACACTTGTTAAAGAAAGAGGGATGCAAAATTATCTAAGCAGTATGATTACAGTGAACACTGCAGGTGATGACTACAGACCAGAGCTGGTAGGCCTTGGGGTTTAGTCAAAGTTTGGAGCTGTCCCCAAAGTCTGTGCCTGGAGCTTGCATGTGCACACCTGTGTGCCACACACATGCCTGTGTGCATATTTTCTCACATGTCTATATGCACACACACATACACACACGAACACAGCTTTTTCTAGACCTTTAGAATAGGGGCTCTGAGCGCTGCTTCTGGAAAAGCCTGTGTACGTGTGCACGTGGGCAGCTGATAAGTAGACAAAGAACTTAGGGGAAGGAAGGGAATCCATGCATCTTTATTCTGGGACATGGAGGGTCCGAGCAGCTCTGGGAACCTGCTGCCTGTGTCTCAGGGATGTGCTGAGGAGATGCCTGAGGAGCAAGAGAGGGAGGAACTAATGCCAGTGCCCACTTACTCATAAGGAATCTTCTTGAAGACGAGGTGGTCCAACAGGGTCAGCTGTTCTGCGATCTCCAGGGCTGAGTGATTTTCAAAGGGCTCAGCCTTCACACCTTCTGCCTAAGGGAGCAGGTCTTGAGTTAGGACCAAGAGGGACACTTCCAGGCTTTCTGGCCACCTCACTGAAGGGCTGTGTTCAGTTCTGGTGGCAGGGGAGGTGGATGGGGTATGACAAGGGGAGAATAGGGGATGGGGAGCAGAGCCCCAGCACTTGATGTACCTTGTGTGTGTGGCCTGTGCTTCAGGATCATTCTGTGCAGTTGTCACTCTGCCAGGGAACCACCACCATCCCACTGGGACAATGGAGGCTTGCTGAGTTCAGGTCACCTGATTCCAGGATGTGTTGGTGACTCCCTGCAGGTGCTGTCTGGGCTCCAAACCACCCCAATACAATTTCATTTTCAAAGTCATTAGCCAGTGTGCATTCCCAGGTATGATTATCACCTGGGACAGTGTTTTTGTCCTGTGCCCAGGAGACAGCCATCTGGCCTAGGTCTTGGACTACCATGGCCCTGGCACTTGGGACATTACTTTTAAGGGGGCCCACAAAATCTGGGCCCATTGACTAGGGCAAGTTCTCAGGGAAACATCAGCCAGGAATAGTGGAGCCCACGGCAGGGATGAGAGAAGGGGTGACACAATGGCGGGCAAGGGGCTGTCTGAATGACTCACAGACAGTCTGCTGGATCTGGAGAGGGCTGGAGGGAGGTGGAGGAGGAGAGGGAAGGGACAATCGTGTTGGTCTTAGGAGCAGCTTGTGTTCACAGAGGAATGAGTGTGGAACAAGGATCCTCTGCATCCCTACACCCTCAGGGCCAAATGGGCCATATAGACATAGAGGGATAAGTCCATATGGGCCTGTGGGCTCACAGGAGGACCTGTCACAAACCACTCATGACTTCTGCTTTCCCTGCCTAGAAGTTCCAGTGGGCTGGGCTGAGCACCCTAGATCATCTGCACTGATTGCAAGGGAAGCAGGGTCCACCCACACCCAGGGAACAAGCCATTCCTCCCATTTCTTCTCCAAACATTGAGGTCTGCATCACCAGGCCGGGGTTAGACAATGGAGATACACAGACCTGAACACACAGACCCTGACTTTAGGTGCAGGGTGCCCACCATGTGGATGGAGCAGGAATGGTGCAGGAAAACAGCCTGTGTGTGCATGTTGGGCAGGGGGTAGGAGTGTGTGTGGGGGGGTGCCATGGATGCTTCCTGCCAGAGTCACCAGGGAACAGGAACACAGGTGTGGGGAACCCCATGTCTTCAGGGATGAGAGTTCTCAGGAAGGCTGAGGGGACAAAGGCAACAGGGGCTCTGTGTTGCCCTGTTGCAGGGTAAGGACACTGCATGGGGTCTTTCCCCTGTGTGTTCACAGGGAGGGGACCTTCAGCCTCTGAAGCAGGTGAATGCATTAATATAGGCAGAAAGTTCAGCCATATTCACTCCAGAGAGAACAACACTGGTGGCCAGGGGCTGGCCAAGGATGGTTGTATAGTCAAGTCCAAGGGTGAATCCAGGAGGCCCCACTGGGGTGAGTCCAGGAGGTCAGAGCTGGGGTATATCCAGGGTACTGAGGAGCACAGAGGCCTGCATCAGGCTTGAGTCAGGAGAAAGTGTACTGGTCAAAAGGGGGCAGGTGGCCTTCTGCTTCCTTCAGGTGTGGCCTAAGAAGAAGGGTGACCCTGGAAGCAGAGGTCAGAGCCAAGGGCCTGGGCCACATTTCATCAGGCTTGTGAGAAACCTCCTGGGGTGAAGCCTCTCTCCTCTCTGGAAGTCTGAATCTGAATCTGCCCCACCCAGGCTCTGGGATGTTTGAAAGCTCAGTTCTGGAAGAGCCTCAGGCTGTTCACAAGGAACAAGGGCTCTCTGCTCTTGAGGGGCAAATGTTCCAGCCGGCCTCTCAAGGAGCCATTGTGTCTGCTCCATTGGTAGACGCTGGGGAGGGTTTGCCCAGCATTCTGACCTCAGAGGGTCAGTCTGGAAGAAGTGGGGTCTGGGGGCACCAACTTCCTTGCCTGAAGGGCACATGTGGATGGGGGTGGGGCACCAGCCCTGCAGTGCTGCCCCGGGACAGAGTATGGGCAGGGTATGGGCAGGGTGCTGCTGCTCCATGGGTGACCCCCACATGTACCCCAGGTGGGAACAGCCAGTTCTAGGAATCAGGAGGGGGATTGTGAGAGGGGAGAGGATCAGAGGTACAGGAACCATGGTTCTAAGTCACCCAGTTTGTGGCTTGTTGTTACATCAGCCACAGGAAATGGATACATGGGTGGCCATGCCTGGTTGGGTGGTCAGGGGCAGGGAGGACCAAAAAGGGGCTGCCTTGGTGAGTGAGGGGAGGTTGACCCTGCTCACCATCTGTGTGATCTCCTCCAGTGTGATCTGGTTGTCACCTGGGTCCTCCTGGGTCAGAGTCCTGGGGAGGAGAAGGCAGCTGAGCCCCAGTTCTCCTCTCAGGCAGCCCCACCCCAGCCAGACAAATTCATGCCCTTTTCCAGGACCCTTTCCCTTTCTTCTTCACTGGCCTCTTCCTGATGGTCCTGACCCTCCTGGCTGGGTGAGGTCTCCTCCTGGGGGCTCCCTGTGTACTGCTGCATACTGGCCACTGAGAGACCTGGGCAGGGGGCCCTTGAGATCAGGCTGTGTCTGATTCATTCCTGTGGCTCTGGCCAGTATACAGCAGGTGTTCCTTCATGCACATGGAAGGAGATGAGGCACGAGGGAAAGGAGCTCTAGGCCTGAAGGACCAGAGCAGGCAGGAGGAGTACAGGGGCCCTTCCAGATGGGGTGTCCCTCTAGTCTGGTCTTGACCAGAGAGGGGTTCACAGGATGGGAGGGGGCAGCATGGTGGTCCAGGGGCCAGAGGGGGACTGTGCTGGGGGGAAGTGAGGACAGAGGCAGATGACTGAGCTGAGCAGAGTGGGCACCAGGTGGTGGTGGGAAGTGAGGGGGGCCCTCAAAGTCAGGCCAAAGTACCTTGTGACAGGACTCGGAGCCACGTTCTGTGAAAGCAACGGTGGGCCAGAGGGATAGAGGCTGGGGACAGGCTAAGAGCCAGGCCTGGGGTGCATGTGTGTGGGAGCAGCTGGGGGTCTCCAGGGCCGGGATGAAGGGAGTGGCACTCTGCCTGGGTGTCAGCCCTCACAGCAGGCACCAGCATGTACTGCTCTGAGAACTGTCTCACCTGAGGACCTGTGGTCAGAGGACCCACAGTCGGAGCACTGAGGGCTGGCTGTTTACCCAGGGCTGCTCCACCCCAAGCCTGCCACTGCACCCTGAGATGAAAGTGTTCAGAGCCAGTTCCCAGATGGCTTTGGTCAGTGTGATCGGGGACGCAGCATACTTCCTAGGGAGGACTGTGAGGGAGACTCTGAAGGCATGGAGCTGACTACGTGCAGGTGTGCGTGTGTGTGCGCATTCGCACGCGCAGGGAGGTAGGTACTGAAGATGAAGGAAGCCTAAGGACATTCAAGGACTGTGAACCTGCATGAGTGACTGGCCGGAAGCTGGGGCTTCAGGTTAGGCAAGGGGAAGGTTTGGTAATGGGAAGGAGGCTAGAGACTCTGGTTTTAGGCAGCAAGTGCTTGTGCAGGACTTGGCAGAAAGCCTGGGGCTGAGACAATGACTTGGGGGCACAGAAGGGTGGCTGGAGCCAGGCAAGATGTCAGGAGGAGAGGTCTGAGCTGTCACCTGGGCTGGGCTGGGAGAGGACAGCAGAGTCAGTGATGAGAGCAGCAGGTGGGGAGGGAGGGGGGCTGTGCCCGACACCCCCTGAGCCACCTGTGAACTGCCACTCACAATCGCACTCCAGCTCCACCCCAGCCCTCCAAGCAGGTATCCTTCACCCACTTAACAGAGGAGAAAAATGAAGTTCAGAGAAGAAACTTGCCGGGTCATTTGCAAGTCACTGGCTCAGCCAGTTCTGAAGAGGGGGCTGCCTGGGCCCTGGCTTGCACCAGGGGAGGCTGCCTGAGGAGCAGGAACAAGCACAGGATTGGGGACAATAATTTAACTGCGGTCAATTCCACAGACGTTCCCTGGGTCTTACCAGTACTGTTCAATGGCACTCTATACAATGAGGGGCGTGTGCTATGTCTGCTGGGTCCAGACTTGGGTCATTAGCTGTGGGTGAAGCAATATGACTGTGGAAATGAATTTTAATTTTATTCAACTTTAATTAACTGAGGTTTAAATAGCCACATGTAGCTGGTGTTTACCACACTGGATGGCACAGGCTACACAGGTGTTAGCCATGGACACACTTGGAGAAGTGGGCATGGTTCTTGCCTCAAGGAGATCAAGGTCTGGTGGGGGAGGGGAGAAGGGAGGGACGGACACACGGACCACCCACTCCCAAGCTGGGAGGCTGAAGGGGGGCTGCATGGCTCTCAGGTGACTTAGGGGTCATTTCTATCCTGACATACCTTCCTGGGGCCATCCTTTTGCCTGATAAGGACCCTCCTCACCTCCCTGGCCTCTGGGCAGCCTGTATGAGGGCAGAGGTGAGGCTCCCTGTCCCAGCAGGCGTCCTGAGCTGGCGGCTGTCCTTACCTGATGATGTTGGCTGCAGCCTTCCGCTCCTGAGTCAGGAGCTCTGGGTCATGCATGACCTCCTCCAGGAAGCCGATCACCTTGCATTTGAGCTCGTCGTTGGTCTCAAAGTCCTTCAGGAAGAGGGGACGGGTGGCTTGGCTATAGTTTTCAAGCTGACCTGCAGGGGGCTGGGCCCAGGCTAGCAGGAGAACCACAGCTTCTGTTCTGCCAGGGGCTGCCTTACGTCATTACCTTTCTGTTGACTTGGTGGCAGGGTCAAGTGGGGCTGTGGGATTCTTAGCTATAGGTTAGGGCACTGGGGCAAGGCTATGGACCCCAGGCCAGGGACGCAGAAGCCTACTTGTTCCTCTGGGAGGATGGATGTGGACAGACAGAGGCTCCTTGTATTCTTGAAAGTCCCTGATTCCCTCCTAGGGGACTGTGTGGGTCCTTCTGGTAATATTGGCGTGGCACTTGGGCTTCCTCCCTCCGCTGCCCCGCTGGCCATCAGCCCATTCAGCCAGCAGTCACCCTGGGAGCAGCTGGCTCCTGGAGCCATGCCTGCAGGTCTCCTGCAGCCACCCAGGAGGATTCCCACTCACCTGAGAGTGCTTGGAGACCCAGTGGCGGAGCACATTCAGGACTCGATTGGTGGCCGCCCTGCGGATCACAAACTCCTTGTCCCCATTCCTCTGGTCAGGGGGAAACCCTGGTAGCATGAGTGGCAGAAAAGAGAGAGGATACAGGAGGATGAGAAACAGAGCTCCCTCTAGTCTGGATTCAACTCCCAGATCTGGTTAATCTGGGCTGCTGCTCATAGCTGCCAGGTGAGAGGGATAGTAGGGACCATCAAATGCTCAACAACTAGGTTCTGACCCTTAAGACGGGTGCCAAGAGTTGTTAGTGGACACAGTCCATGAATCCTCAGCCTCTGCCAGAAGTCTTCATCTTTCAGGGGCTGCTGGAAGTTTCTGGTGGCCTCTCCTGACAGGTCCACTCAGACACCAGGGCTCTCTGGGGTCCCTACTCCAGCTGGTGCTATGGGGCCACTGCTGAGGAAGTGGGTGGTAGGACGGTGGGGGCAGAGGCTCCTGTGGGCTTTGCTGAGTGGAAATTTGCCAGTTGCAAAGGGGGCTGGGTGGGGAAGAAGGAGCTCCCCGCTCTGGTGGATGCTGCAGGAAGAAAATCTGGGATGGGTGGCAACAGTCTGCAGGGTGGGAGGAGGTAGTGTCTGGGTGGGTGCTGGGATGCAGGAGATAAGGCCACCCTCCTCGGGGCTTGCCAGGCAGGTGGCTAAGATATTATCCCCTTGGATAGAGGCTGGGAAGGAAGAGTGAAGATCAGGCTGTGCCCTGGGCGTGCAGTGGCCATGGCTCCAGGGGTGGGGTGTGCAGAGGCCCAGCTGGTGTGGGGCAGGGTGGGGGGCATTGCTCCAGCATCCCCATAAGAGGAAGGGGGGCTAAAGTCAAAATCATGATGTGGGAAGCGAGGCATCCAGCCAGTGAGAGCCGTGAGTTGAAGCAGGGTTCTTGGAAGGGGTGCTGTTAGCAGGACCCACAGTGTCCCCAGCACCACATGGGAAACACTGACTGTGGCCAACATCTCGGCTTCAGGCCACAGAGGGGCTGACCTGGGCAGGGATGTGTGAGCAGACCGCCCCACGTACCTGCGCTGGCTAAGGACATCCTGCGATACTTCTCCTTGTTTGGGGTGCCCTCGTTGGCTCCTGCGGTTGCTATGGCAAAGGCAGAGGCTGCTGAGAGGGCGCTGCGGTTATTGTCCAGTTCGCGACAGGAGGTCATCACCACTCCGTTGTTGTAGGAAAAGAGCGGGAACTCTGTGGAGAGGAGGGAACCAGTCTCCTCAGCGTCCCTTGTGGTCAGCCCTTCAGGCGGCTGGAACCCGAGGCATCTGAGGCTGGACTAGCACCACGAGCGGGCAGCTCTGTCTTCATGGACCAGGCTTGGTCAGCTGATCGGGGGCAGCTAAAGTCTCTGGGAAGGGTCATGCTTTGATCTCCCCAGGGCTGTGCCAGGGTGGGAAGGCCCTGCCAACCTACTGCTTCCACCCAACCCTTCCAACACTCTGTGGCTCCCAAACCCATTGCTTCTCAGGCCCAGCTGTGCCCAGTCCAGCTTGAGGACAACACCATGAGTTTTCTTGCCCTTTCATTGTCCAGGGAAGTGACACAGCTTGTCCAATGTCTGACATCCAACAGTTCATACTGATGGGCTCATGGGCACAGTGCCATGGGGAGAATATTGCACCTGGAGTCCATCCACCTGGGTTGAAATTGTTCCCAACTATTCACTAACTGTGTGACCTTGATTAAATTACTTAACTTCCCTGAGACTCAATAATCACCTCTGGGTAATAGGGATAACACCTACTTCCAAAGTGGATGCTAAAATTAAAGGAGATAACATAGATGAAAGTACTTTGTATAGGTGAAAAGCTATGTAAATAACATGGAACATACTTGATGATGATGATGACGATGATGATGATAATAATAATAAATTTTTATAGTAATTGTAGTAGAAAGTGACTCCAGAAACTTTTAGTTTTATCTTGTAAGTCTATAAAATAATCCATACTTGGGACAAAGTAGCAGTCCTTAAGCTGTGGGGAGCAAGTGATTTAAAGATTCAGACTTATTTCTGAGAATTGGCCTTGCATGAGATGTGTCTGTGTATGTGAGAAGCTGTACCCAGCTGCAGTGTGCCCAGGGAGTTTTTGGATAGCCATCGAGTTTGGGATCCCTGCTGCCCCTTGCATGTGGGAGTGGGGGCTTGGAGAGGGCAGTACTAGGCAAGAGCGGCTGTCCTCTCCCCACCTCTGGGTGTCTCAGAGCCCTTTTTGGTATGGGCAGTTGATTTACGAGAACCAGAGACCAGGATGGCTCCTCAGTGACCCTTCAAGATTTCGAGTCTGAGATGTCGGGTGAGCAACATCACCACCGTTCAGAGACTTTTTCCTTATTTGAAAAGCAGGAATAACCCGGCCTTTCTACAAGGCTGTTGAGAAGAGGAGAGGGCCTGTCACAAGTCTTGACACCCAGGGCCCTAGGAAGTGCCTCTGATCTCCCCTGAGTGAGCCTGACACGTGGAGCCTTCCTGCCCTCCCCCCGCCCCCCCCCCCAACGCCGTGTTGGCTGGTTAAATGCAGTTTCGTCTGAATTAGGGGTGACTTCACTGAGTTGAAGAGCAGGATCTACCCAGCCAATGCTCCAGCACCCACAGCCCCCCGGGGGTTATGAAACATAAGAACAGTCACTGCTCTCAAGAGTTACTCAAAAAACCCAAGGATGAAACCCACTTGCTTCAACTTGACCTGCTGCCCTCTTCCCACCTAGGAATCTATTTGTAGTTTTGTGCTGGTCAGCTGTACCTGAAGAATTTTTGCTTTTGACTGATTTTGGTGTTGTTGGAGATTTAGTTGGCGATGTCTCAGTATCACCATCATCACTCTGGTTTTGATCAACATCTGACTCTTCTTTCACAGAGACTTCTGAGCCTGGGAGAAAAGAAATACTCTCTCAGTTATCTATCGATTTGAAAATTCTGTTATCGAAGTAGAGTAAGTGTGGGCTATTCTGACGAAGAAAGTTTAACAGCTTTATTTGCCAAAGCCTTTGCCAGAACCTTTCATGTGCCAATGGGCACTGTGAATCTCCAGGACGGAGTTTACTCCATGGTGCTTCTCACACTTTAATGGATACACCCAGGAATCGTGGTAGAACATTGGATTTTGACTCAGGTCCCCTGTGAGGCCTGAGAGTCTGTAGTTCTAAAAAGCTCCAGGTGATGCCCATGTGGCTGGTCCATGGACCACGCTTTGAGTAGCAAGGTTTTTCTCTCTCTGGTTTAGTATCTTAGGGTGAACATCTGCTCTGATTTGCCCAGGATAGTCCTGTTTTATAGGAACTTGTTGTCCTTCTGGTTTGGGCAATCTTGGGAGACTCACTGTCTATATACTTTGGAAAAGCAGGTGAACTGTATTAAAACTTTACTATGGAGCTGGGGGTGTGGCTCAAGTGGTATCGCGCTCGCCTGGCATGTGTGAGGCACTGGGTTCGATCCTCAGCACCACATAAAAATAAAATAAAGATATTGTGTCCACCTAAAAAACTAAAAAAAAATAAATATTTAAAAACAACAACAACAAACAAAACAAAACAAAACTTAACTATGGCATGGTGAGTTCTTGGTCAAAAATTCTTAACTACTCTGGGCCTCAGTGTCCCCTCCTAGAAAGTGAGTGCAGTTACACTTGGACTTTTTGAGAACTCAACAAAACACACAGTTATTCTCTTTAGAAAAGAATACACACACACACACACACGTGTGTGTGTGTGCCTGGGTGTGCATAGGCACAAAGGCACACAATTAGGTTTGAGAGCCCCTGGATCACTAGTTGAGAAGAAGCCTGGTGGGCTTGCCGAGACAGCATGCATGAGACCCTGGGTTTGATCCCTAACACAGAAAGAGGACAGTGCTCCCACTGCTGTCCCTCTGAGGATCCTGTATGCTGCACCATGAGACGGCATTTGGGGGCTCTGTAGTAGGCTCTTACCTTACTTACCAACTTTCAGCTGTGAGAGTCAAGCACATCACCCATTTGTATTATGTGCCACAAGAAATGTATTACCCCTCACCAGTTTTGCCCTCTGCTGGGGGTAACCTCTGCCTTCCTTCTTCTCAACTCGAAGGAGAGAGATGGTCCTTCTCAAAGCCTAGTGCTTCTGGCCAGTCCAGGGTTGGGTGCGCATATGCGTGCGTGCATGCGTGTGTGTGTGTGTGTGTGTGTGTGTGTTGCTGGGCGTTCACATGTTCATCAAGTCTGTGTTGAATGGTTCCTCAGGATGTGGCCTGATCGTCTGATCTACAACAGAATCAAACCTGATCCTTCTAGAATGGTCAGGAGAAGCTCTAGAATAGGGAGGCACTGGCCTGCCTTCGCATCCTCTCTGGCCACTGCCCCCACATGCAGTGTTCTGGGTGTGCCAGGTGTGCCGAGCTTCAAGCTGTTCCCTGAACACACAATGCCTTTCCAGATGCCTCAGTCTTTCACATTCCATCCTCTTTGTCTAGAAGGTTCTGCCTTCCTCCTGGTGAAGATCTAGATCTAGTAGGTCCTCCAGGGAGCCTTCTCTGCTTCCCTGATGCTGTCTCCACCCCATCCCCAGTGCCCCCTGAGCGGCTCTCTAACACAACACATGTCATGTGTGTCCATCTTTCAGTGTCTGGTCTGGTTCTGCAGCCAGAGTGTGAATCCCAGTGGGCAGGAGCTAGTTCTGATGACCTTTTCTCTCCTGGGCCCTGAAGGAAGCCTGGCCCGGACACGTCTACGTCTACTGCAGACATGGATGAACCTGGGGTGCTGGATGCTGCTGTCAGGCAGGGTGATGGGAGCTGACACCTCAAGTGGGCTGAGGCCCTGTGAACTCTGGCCACTCCCTGGCAGGCTGGGCCCCCACATGTGCTACCTACCTGCACTGCCCACACCCTGCACCGCCACCCAGCTGGATGGGCCCTCCACGCCGCTCCACTCCTGTGTGCCCCAAAGCCAACGCTGCTGCACCCACACACCACTCACTCTGCTTGCTGAGAGCTGAGGGGTCTTCAGGCTTCTCAGGGGTTGTATCACCCTCATCTGGAATCTTGTTGGCGAAGCTGCTGGACACATAGAGCTTGTTGGTGTCTAGCGTGGCCTTGCTGAAGGGTGACATGGCCGAGTACATGCTGGTGTAGCCATTGGAGCTGCAGCTGAGTGCAGCCAGGTCCAGGGCCTTGCCGCCCGTGATGATGGGGATGTTCAGGGAGAGCTTCCTCCGGCGGCTGGGTGACGAAGTGCTGATGGACAGGGGTGGCGGGGAGGAGAACTTGCGGGTGGCACGTGGGGACTTGGGAGGTTCCCCATACAGGAGCTTGTTGTTCTGGCCGCTGGCAAACAGGAGCTCCAGGGACCTGCAGGAGGACAGGGAAGGACATGGCAGTCAGTGGTCATTTGACCTGGCCATCAGGCTTGCTCCCCATCTCCAGCAGGGCTCAGGAGGTGGCTGACAGCAGGGGCTCTCTTGCTCTCAGGATCTCTGAGACCTGGAGCTGATCCTCTGAGTAGGGACTGTGTGATTTAAGGGCTTGGTGCCGAGTGTCTATGGACGTGATGGTTCCCGTGGTGGATGTGGGGGTTCATGGCCGGGGTGGGTGTACCTGCTGCTCGCTCCTCTGCCTCCCTCGGGTCAGCAGCAGTATCTGACCTGAGATGCTCATGGTTCTTGACCTGCTGGTTTCTGTAAAACAACTTCCCTCCATCCCACCCAGGGCCTCACCTGCACACTCTGACCTTATCCTTACAGTGGTCCTGATGGGTGCTTCATGCATAAGAAAGCTGAGGCTCAGAGACAGGAAATGACTCCCTGAGGCCTCCAACTCTAAACCCAGTGTCCCCACCATGGCAAGTAAGGGGTCTCACATGTGAATCTGGGTTGGGGGATGGGTGGGAAGCTGGGGGGCCACCCAGCAATCCTGAGACCAGAGACCTGGATTCAAGTTCCCACTCAGCTACAGACTTCTAAGGGCTCCAGGGAGTGTCCTGGCCTTTCAGGATGCAGCCAACCCAGGGGAAGAGCTGAGCTACAGTGATATAGATAGGAAAGGTGGCCTCTCAGGATAAGGTGTAAGCAGAGCAGCTGTAACCTGTGTTCCGTTCTTTTCTTCCTTCGTCCTTCCTTCCCTCCCTTTCTTTCTTCTTTTCCTAGAGGGGTGGGGCCCTAGGTTTCCCAGAGGGGAACTGAAGTGAGAACAGGGAGGAGAGAATAATGTGTATCCCTCAGACTCCCCCACTCAGGGCAGGAATGGAGGAGGCCAAGACTGAGCAGAGGTGTCCTGCATGCCAGCCCTCCCTGGCCTTGGGAGGGGAGGACACAAAGCTCCCTTGAGAACATATTCTTAACCCTCACAGTGGTTTTGAGATACAAATATGTGCTGGGCACAGTGGCCCACACCAGTACTTCCAGCGACTCGGGAGGCTGAGGCAGGAGTATTGCAAGTTTGAGGTCAGCATCAGCTATTTAGCAAGGCTGTAAGCAACTTAGTGAGACTCTGACTCAAATAAAATATAAAAAAAGTGCTGGGGATGTGGGTCAATGGTTCTTGACCTGCTGGTTTCTGGTTCAATCCCCAGCATTAAAAAAAAAAAAAAAAAGAAGAAGAAGAAGAAAAAGGAATACAGATGCATACTGTCTTGTGGTTCATGAGCTGGGTATGTCCCAGCATCCAGACTGACGGGATGCCTTCTCCTCCAGGGACCTCCCGGGCACCCCTGGAGCAGAGTTTAGTTTCCCTCCAGGCCTGAGGTTCTGAGGGTCCGGTAGGAGGAGGGAGCCTGTGCCCACCTGGCAGGGATGGCGCTGATGGGTTTCTTGTAGATGGTGATGAGCTTGTCCAGGACCACGACGGCCGTGGTGAAGACGCGGTAGGAGTGCAGGAAGGTGTTGAGGAAGTCGATGCTCAGGAAGCGCAGGTCCGTCAGGCGCTCCAGCAGCCGCTCCACGCTGGCGTACCGGATCTGCAGCACTTTGCAGGAGTTCATGGTTTTACTGAAGCGAATGTCAACGTCATCACAATATAAGGAGGCGTCGGATCTGAGGATGGAGGAAGAGGTGACATGGGTCTGAGGTTGTCTGGGCCCACCAGCTGGCAAGCCCATCTCTGTCCCCATGGTCCCAGCCAGGGATGGTCTTACTAGGAGAGCAGGGGATGCTTTAGAAGCATGGCACTGAAGGAGGGTCCTTTCCCCAGGATCCTAAACACCTTCAGCATAAACCTAGCAGTACTGGAAAAAGATGACAAACACACGGGAAAAAATGTGCCACCAAATTCTTGAGACACACAGGAAGTCTGTTCACTGAAAAATGTGTGCATGAATATTCATAGCACATTGTCTGTTATAGCCTGGAGATGGAAATATCCCGACAGCCACCAGCTGAGGAGTGGACCAGTGACCTGTTACATCCACAGTGGTGGGATATTACTCAGCCATAAAAGGGAATGAAGCACTGACACACACAATGAGCCTCAAAAACATCAGGCCAAGCCAAAGAAGCGAGACACAAGATCACATGTCCTATGACTCCCTTTATAGGTGATGTCCAAAATGGGAAAATTTATAGACACAGAAAGAAGATTGGAAGTTGCCAGGGAATGAGGGAGGGTGGCTTTGGAGATGACTGCTACTAGGTACAGGATTTTCTATTGGGGTGATGGAAGTATTCTGTGTTTAGATTGTGGTGATGACTGTAATCCACTAAATTATACACTTTAAAATGGTAAATTTTATGTTATGTGAATTAAATCTCAATTAAAACAATTTGAAGGGAAAAAAGTATAATAAGAAAAATTCCCAGGGACTTAAAACAAGGAGCAATTTGGAAACTAGGTGCCACTTTTGCTGTCTTGAGGGTGTCTGCAGCTCTTGGGAACCAGTGTCTTGGGTTTTCACAGGAGCAGGAGACAAGGCCTGGCCTTCGGGAGTGGGAGGGTTGGAGAGACCACCATGTAAAGACAGACCGTTGAAGGGCGCATCCTCAGAGAAGGGTGGTCTAGGAAAAAACCTACCCACCTGAAAATGGAGATAGCAAGTCTTTTTGATTTGGCTGGGCTCTGGGGAACACAGCGCTCCCTTGAGAATGTAATACTTGCCCTCACAGTTATTTTGAAATACAAATATGCACTCCTTTTGTGGTCTAGAGCCTCAAACAAAGGGCATAAAAATGGGGTCACAGGAAATAATGCTTTTGGTGCACCTGGTACAGGCAATCACAAAACTTTGTGAAGGGCACTTCTCAACTGGGCTGGTCTAGGGAGCCTTCAATGCAAAATCAGCCATATCCTTGCTGACACCTGTTGCCTCTTGGTTCCAAAAGGCCAATAAGGTGAAGCTGGCTTTTCAATGGGTGATCATTATGAACTTCCAGCTCCTGTATCAAGGGGGGTGCATGCTCAGCTTTTATGTCTCTTCTACCTACTTAGCCTTTACAGGGGAAGATCATCCTGTCCTTGATCTACCTTGGCTGCCTGTTTAGTATTAGAAGAAATCTTTAGCCAGCAGTGGATCAGCTGGACTTCTGGTCTTTGACCGAAAGTGAAACCTTCCAGGTTGGTCAGACATGCGGGGTTGGATCTATCAAAGTCTTTCATCCCGAGTCAAAATGGGGAAGAGAGGAAGAGCATGGGATGAAGATTACCTCTACATAGGGAAGAGGGGTGGGAGGGAAAGGGAGGGAGAAAGGGAATTGCATGGATAGTGGAAGGAGACCCTCATTGTTATACAAAATATGTGTACGAAGATGTGAGAAAAAAAAAGAATAGCGTTACCCTAGATTAGGTAGAGAGAAGTGATGGGAGGGGAGGGGAGGGGTGGGGGAGATAGGAAGGATATAGTAGAATGAAACAGACATTATTGTTACTGTGTGTATATATGTGGATGCATGACCAATGTGATTCTGCAACCTGTATACTCAGAAAAATGAGAAATTATATCCCATCTGATTCCAAATGTATGATATGTCAAGGTCATTGTACTGTCATGTGTAACTAATTAAAACAAAACAAAACAAAAAAGTCTTTCATCCTGGACAAAGGGATCACTGCATGAGGTCGGAATCTGACCCAGGCAACACCAATTTGAATCCTTCTCTGGGGCTTTGCGATTGGATCTGTTAGCAGAAAATCTCTTTCTTCTCAGGGTGCCAGGACACGGGGACAGGTGTTTAGTGCAGTCAACCGCAGCCTAGGGGACTGAGGGCGGAGCAGGTTCTAAACTTCTAAGGTCAGCCACCTCTATTGGGCATGGTGGGAACCAGCAATCCCAAAAGCTGCTGCAACATGCAGCGCCCTCTGGTGGCTGAACCACAGCAGACACGTTTTAATGGTGGGATCCATCTACTATTCAAGGAATGTTTTGTTGTTTATTTGTTTTTGGTACTGGGGATGGAACCCAGGGTGCTCTACCACTAAGCCACATCCTCCCCATTTTGAGACAGAGTCTCCCTAAGTTGCTGAACATTTGATCCTCCTGCTTCAACCTCTGAGTACTGAGTAGCTGTATCTGTAACCATAGGCATGTATCATTGTGCCCAGCAAACAATGACTCTTTTGAGCAATAATATATATATTTTTTTCATTTTCTGGACATTGTGAATCTTCGTTATCATGTTTACCTTTTTTTTTTTTTTTTTGGAACCAGGGATTGAAGCCAGGGGTGCTTACCACTAAGCTATATCCCCAGCCCTTTTTAATTTTTGACAGGGTCTCACTAAGTTGCTTAGGGCTTCACTAAGTTTGCTTAGGGCCTCTGTTTTTTAACCTGTAAAAGGAAAATAATAAGATCTACCATACAAAATTTCTCAAGAATGTAATAGGTGAACTGACTGAAGGACCTAGAACAGGCACATAGGAGGTAACAAGTGGATGTCAGCTCTGAGCTCACTGGCCGTTTACAGGGTATTTCCTACTAGGATGTGGTACTGCCTAGGTGGCTGCCGGCTGGCAGTAGGTCAGTCCATCAAGCGCTGGCTTTGTCAGATCTGCCTTTGGGTTGGTGGTGGTGTGCATGAAGGAGTGTGGCATTTTGGACGCTAAGTACTGTTGTGTACTGTTCCCTGGCACATGCACTTGGAGCAGCATAGAGACTGTGGTTTCAGACACAGGTGGGAGCTGGGTCCTGATGTGCATGAGGTGAATGAACATCGGCAGGCTGGGGCTCACAGGTTGGGATGCAGCCAGTGGGCTGCAGGGTGGAAACAGGAAGGAGGGTGGACATTGAGTGTGCAAATCGCTGGAGGAGAACTGTGCCTGGTGCAGGTGAGGGAGGCTGCATATGGAGGGCTCAAGGTCTGGAGAGCTGTGTCCAGCAGAATCCTAGGCCTTTTGTCCTCGAGGTTGCTCAAATAGGGGCAGTGGCCCTGGGGCCTTCTGTGTGAAATGGTTTTGAAATGTTCCTTGTATTTATTTTGTAATCAGGAGAAGAAAAATAGCTATTAATAAGAGTGTGTAAAATAAACCCAGCATCTTTTGAGCCCCGGGGGCTGGCCCATACCAGGGTCCTGGCTGTCCCCGCATGGTACACAATCTCCGGGACACAGTCTGGTGAAAACAGGTTAAGGGCACCTACTTGATCATCTGAGGCACAGTGACCTTGGAGTTTTCTTCAAAGGCGTTCATCATGAGTCCATTGCACCGGATGTTATCCACACACTGGAAACAGAGGGGACCCCAGGGTAAGAGCCTTAGTCCCTTCCAGGATCCAGGCCCACGGAGGGCTCTGCCAACTGAGGGGTTCATACACCCCAGCCTGACATGGGGTCCTCAAGCTTCAAGGTCATTGTCCAGGCAAGGACAGGGTGGTCTTGATGAAAAAAGCCTTCCTTGGATTTAGGTTGGAGGTCAAATCTATCTGAATGACCTTGGGGGATTACCTGACCTTCTTGAGTCTTAGATTCCCTAACTTCAAAATGGGGACAATGACTCCTACCTCACTGGATTGTTTGCAAAATAGAGGCACATGACACTGACCACACTGTTGCCTACCTCTGAGGTCCAGTGTCAAGGGCAAGATCAGCTCTACCATGATCTGGGCTCCCTCTTCTGGGAGGCCTATGCAGCTGGGCCTTCGCATCCCCTGCAGGAGAGCTCTGTGCTCTGCCCTCTGCCTGCCTACCCAGTGCCAGTGCTCTGATGCTGTGGACGGTTTTCCACATCACACATCCATATGTGGGGGGCGCTTGCAGCAGGGGAACCCGTGATTGCATATTTTACGCAGCCTCCAAAAAATTCAAAATCTAAGTATTGCTTTGAATAAAAACTACTCACACAAACAAAACTAAGAGACACATTTCCTGAATGTTCCCTGCTCCAGGACTTTACATTTCTGCCATGACAGGGTTTCTCCTTGGCTCAGGCACATCACAGAATCTTCTGGAGTGTATGAGTGGGGGTGGGTGTCAAGGTCACTGGGATGTGGCAGTCCGAGAGAGGCTGGTAGGGTGTCTCCAGATCCAGCCCCCTGGTCAAGGTCAGTTCCCCAAAGGCGGTACCTCACATAGGGAGGTTTCTGACATTTGTATTTCTAGTCCAACACTAGTCCACATGCCACTGAGACTCTCCTTAGTGCGGCAGACTCAGAGGACCTGGAGGGCCTAGGGAAATGGCCAATGCTGTTCCCCAGGGGAAAGGGCTAGGGGACCCATAACCATTGGCATCCGCGACATTGCCAGGAGGCCGAGGCCCTGTGAACATCCTCTGGGAGAGCAGCCTGAGCCCCTGACAGTTACAGTTCCCTGGAGATGGGAAAGGGCTCAGCTTGGGGTTCCCAGTTTTCTCCAGGGCATGCTGGGACCTTTGAAGACCCACAGGAAAACTAGAAAGAACAGACAGATGCCATGCATTATCCTAACATGCCTTGCTCTTCTGAAACTGAGAGAAGGCAGGCTAGGAGTGGGTGGTCAAGGAAGCCTTAAGTGGGCAGCAAAGAGAAGCTACAGAGTGAGGGAAGCTCACTTGGTACAGTGAAGACTCTGCCCTTTGAGAGTCCCTAAGCCCCTGACCTATAGGAGGTCACACTCCTCTAGGTTTGTCTCCCTATGGAGGAAACACCAGTCTTGCCTCCTATTCTGCTATCAGCTGCTCTCTTAAAATACCCATCCTGCTCTGCAGAGGGGACAGCCACAGGCTCTGTAGAGGGGACAGCCACAGGCAGGTACACTGGGAGGTGGCTGCAGGGATGGGCTACCCTGGTGCTTCTGGAGGCTGAATCCCAGCACTGCTGACAGTCTCTTTCCAGACTCAGAATCCCTGCTCCCTGTGGGCCTGTGGGTCTGCTGATTGTACCTGGGGAAGTCTGTGCTTCCTGGTTAATGCTCCAAATAGGGTGAATGACCCTGATACTTGCAGCGGGCAAAGGACAAAGCCAAATCTTTCCTTTGCACAGCTGATGCTGGGTTTGATCTCAGGAGGCTGCCTGCAGGGACCCTAGCTCCTCAGGGACAAGGCTCTCTCTCTTCAAAATCTGTTGCATCTAACATCCTTGGCTGGTGGTGCCCAGATTTTTCTTGGGGTGTATAAAGATGTAGATCCCAGGCCATCTACTAGGTCTTGAGAGGGGTGAAGAAGAGCCCAGGAATTTGAAGTTTCTAAAATCACCTTGCCAGGTGACTCAGATGCAAGGGGTCCTCAGACTACACATGGCTGGTGGCCCAGAGGACTATGCAAAAGGATGCACTAGCTGAGCTCAGCCTTGGCTGGAGCTGTGGACCTGGTGGACTTGGGTCTTTTCTAGCATTACAATGTAGCTATCATCCCTCTTTGTCCCAGGTCCCCAACCAGGTTGGTCATTTAGAGATCACTTGCTCTCAGGAATAGGGGACATACTTACCTGGCTGATGTCACTGGTCCATGCTGCCTTCTCCTGTCTGGATGAGGCCACGAGGATGACCGTGAAGGGTGGGGAATCCTTTGGCTCTACTCCGATCTTAAAATCCAAGTGGTCTACGTCTTGGCCAGATCCTTTGGCTTCCCGTTGCAAAACATGAAATTGGCAGAGTGGGTGTGGGCCCCTTGGGAGTTTTGCTGGTCCCTACCTTACCCATCAGTGGGGGCTCTGGATTAGGGCACCCAGACACTGGCTGCTACTTTCAGATTTTTTGATGACCTGGAGTGCAAAAGTGACTTCCAAGCATTCAGGAATGTTCTGAATTCAGAGCCAGACTTCTGGAGTTTGCCCTCGGCCCTCACTACACCAACAGGGAGCTGAGATCCTGAGCAAGGGTTTAGCCACGCCCTCAGCAGGGCTGCCAAACTGGGGCTAAAGATGCTCTCACAGCCGGGACCTGCTACCCCAAGGCATTATTTGGGCCAGCAAGGAACTTGGATGTCTTAAATTTTTATGCACTGGGCTGGTTGTTTAGTTTAGTTTAAAGCTCCCCAGTGCAATAGTAAATCCTAGGTATTTTTATTACTGCTCTTAACCTGAAAATTTCCTTGAACTCTCGAAAGCTGTTTACTGGGAAGACCAAGGCCAGAGTATGGATTTTTTTTCAACGTGGCTACATTAATTGGGTATGTACTGAAGGGGGTAGAATGTTGTGGAATGTCTGCTTCAGTCCTGGGCTGTTCTGCTGCGTACTGCCTTGTGACCCTGGAGTGATGCCTGCTCCCTCCATCAGGGAGGTTTCAGGAGTCCTCCTGTACAACAGGACTGGGATCCAGGTCTCTGAGGCCCTGTCCCTTCCAGTTCTGACACTCAAGAGTTTTAGGACTTCTTGGTGGGCACAGGGGAGCTTGGGGAGCTTGACCTGTGTGGTGACTTGGGGGACCATGCTGGCTTCTCTGAGAGGTGGGGTGTCTGTGTGTTGCAGGTGGGAGATGCTCAGGGCCCTTTCCAAAGCCCAGGGAGGAAAACAGCTTCAGGGCCTCATAGTTCCACTTGAGTCGGGGCTTTCCTGTGCGCCAGAGGTGGCTGACATCAGAGAAGCTTGTGCTGGCCAGAGTGCTCCAGGTAAGTCACACACATTTTCCTTGGGGAGCCACTGGGCTTGGCCCTCAGTGGAGTAAGGCGTGATATGCCCTGCATGAGTGCAAGTCAAGGGGACAAGGAGCAACCACCAAGTCCAAGCCCAAGCCCGTGCCGTGCGAGACTGGGATGCAGACTCAGGCCCTCCCTGAGGAGCCCAGTGTGGGGAAGAGCAAAGATTGCAAGTCCTGTTGGGTACTCCCAGGGCAGGGCATCCACTAGTATCTCTGAGCATTGGCTGGGGCCAGTAAAGAAGGAAAATGAGGACCAAATTTGGGAGTGGGCTCAGGAAGACCCAGACCCGGGCCCCTCTGCATCCAGGAAAGGGGCTTCCACACTTGAGCATCTGCTCTTCCTCCCCACCAAAGCCAGTGCTGGGCTGTGACCCTCCTGGGTGAGCGTGTGTGTCTGTGTGAGCATGCACAGGCACAAGCAATTTGCACACTCACCTTCCTCCTCTGTGCTTTCTGGGTCCTCCATTAAGGTGCAGTCGATGAGGGATATGACTCCATTCTGAAAAAAAGCAGCAGTTTCCACTTGGACCGGGGTGGATATGCTAGCTCAAGGGTCCTCCTAGCATGTTAGTGTTGGAAGGGGCTTTACAGAGAGCGTCCAGGGATACACATACACATGGGTATGTATTATATGCCAAGAGGAAATTTTGCTCTGGAAATCAAAGGATTTTATTTTTGGTTTTAGAGATTGAACCCAGAGGTTGCTTAACCACTTAGCCACATTCCCCACATTCCCTTTTTTTTTTTTTTTTTTTTTTAAGATACAGGGTCTCACTAAGTTGCTGAGGTTGGCTTTGAACTTGAGATCCTCCTGCTTCAGCCTCTGGAGCTGCTGGGATTATAGGTATTCTCCACCATGCCCGGCCTTGGAAGTCAAAGGACTTTATATATAAAGCCTAATAAAGTGGATGACAGGAGATTGACTCAGAGAGCCCTCTCCAGAAGAAGGCTGAGGTCGGGCTGTGGGCAGAGGGGCCAACGTCTGTCCTGCTTGGCCTCCTTTTGCCCCTGCAGCATCTCTGAGCATCACCTTAGAGTCCTACATCTAGAGAAGTTTAAGACCCCCTGTTCGAAGTCAAACCCTCATGTTACCAGCGGGGAAAGAGGCCATCATAAGTCTTGTTCTCATTTTCCAGATGAGGAAGTGAATTCAGACTGGTCTTGTGCAAATCACCTGGTCCATTAGTGGTGGGGTCCAGAGAGAGCCTTGGGGAATTGATCCCAACCCAACGTCAGTTACTCATTTCTAATTATTAGGAAGACTCCTAAAATGCCTCCCATCTTTGAGTGTGTGAGCACTCCTGGATGTGAGAGCCCTTGATATTGTGGGGAGTGTGATAGAGCCTGAGGTGGTCGCAAGCATGTCCACAGATTGACACTCCTGCCTTCTGAAAGCAAAGGCAGATGGCCTTCCTCCTGCGTGTGGGCTGAACTTAGTGATTTGCATCTAATTAAAAAAATAAAGCAGAAGCAATGGTGTGCTATTTGGAGTCTGCAGCCTGCTGCTCGCTGTCTCGTTGTCATCTGTTCTACAGGCAACTGTCATGTCATGGGGGGAGGTGCACGAGGTCCCTTGAGCCCCAAGGATGCATCATCTCGGAATGATGAGATGGTCTCTGGCCCAGTGAAGCCGTCAGAGCCCTGTGGCCCAGCAGATGTCTTGATTGCAAACCCATGAGGGACCCTGAGCCGAGACCACCAGGGTAAGTCACACCTGACTTCCTGACTCACAGACTTTCCTGACCTCCAGCTATTCCACTGGGAATAACTTGTAACACAGCAGCAGATAAATAACACAATAACGGACCACAACAGAGAGTTGGCCATGTGGCTAATTGATATCTCAGATGCTTGTAGGCAGGGAGCCCCCTGGGAGGCAGAGGGGCACTGCAGAGGGTCCAGGGGACGTCCAGGCTGTGGATCTGCTTCTTGTTCAGCTCTTTGGTGGCCTTGGGAGGCTCCCAGATTTGCTGGGAGGTCATTAGCTTGGTCATCTTGGAGGCCCCACAAGCTCTAACATTCTCCTACTTGAGGCCCAAACAATTCTTACAGTAGTTTGCAGATTTGTGACCCGCTCCCTTCAGAATGGACTTAAGGTGTCCTGTTTCTACCTGCATGATTTAAAGAGCAGTGATTTCAATTTCAGCTCTTGGCTGTTGGAGGCCATCTGGCATAAGTGACTAAACACATAGAATTTGCTGGCAGACTGCTTGGGTTCAAATCCCAGCTCTGCCACAGGGATTCTGTCCACTTCCTTTATCTACAGATTGGGGAAAGTGACAGTGTCTGCTTCAGCGTCTCTTCTAGGAGTTAAATACACATAAAGAATCTGGGATAGTACCTGGCCTGCAGTAATCATTATGTAGGGTTTGCTATTATTATCATCATTACAAGTTCATTATTATACGATTAAGAGTGACAATGGTGGATACCTATTGAGCACTTATTGTGTACCAGGCATTGGGACTCCCTCACTTAATCCTCAGGGCATTCCTGGAAAGTAGGTATTTTCACACCCATTATGCAGATACGGAAACTGAGGCTCAGTGAAGTCACCTGATTTGTCTGAGGTCCCACTAGGATAGAGCAATGCTGGGACTGGGCAGTGCTTCAATTCTGTGTTCTTACTAGTATGCTAACTAACTTTCAAAACTACAAACAAACCAAAACAAAAACCCTCAAATAAAACAAAATTAACCAATGTAAAAACATGTGCTTTTGGACTCTCTGAGCAGGAAGCTGCTTCCAGGTCTCCAGGGTAACCTGCCCATTCGGACTCTGGCTGCTGGGGAGCAGACCCCTGGCCTGGACAGAGAGCTCTGGATTAGAAGCTCCAGAGCTAATACATAAGGAATGCTTTCCTTGGTACACAATTTGGTTGGAACTGGAGTATTCAATATTTGTAAATTAATTTCCCCTTGTGCAGCCAACCAACTAATTTGTTGACATGTTAACAGAAGCAGTGTATTTCCCAGGCCTGATCTAATAGCTCGACAGGAGGTTACGGGCCAGGCATCCAGGGTCCGGAAGAACAGTTTCCCCAATGCTCTGACTTAATTAAAGGCACCTTCTGGCCCTTTCCAGGCTGCAGCATGTTCAGATCTGAAATCCAATCTGCTTCCATGAGGATGGACATGGTGTTGGGAGAGAAGGTAGCTTTCTAGAACTTGTGCTTCATGATCAAGAGGGCAAATTTGTGGACACCATTGGCTTACTGCTAAGTCCTCTGCACAATGCCTCTGTGAGGACAACTGTCTCTGTTTGACAGACAAAGTGCAGACTGGGGCAATGACTTTTCTGGACCTGGGAGCCAGGTCCTGAATTTGCATTTGGAACAATAGGACAAGCAATGTGCCACATTGGGGAGCAGTAGATTCTGCTCAAGCCATAGGCCTTCCAGCAGAGGTGGTGTTTGAACAGGCCTTGAGTGACATGAGGAGTTCAGCCAGGGGAGAAAGAAGGCCTTGCAGCTGGGTCAACAGCAGGAGCAAAGGCCCTGGGGTCTATGAGGAAGCAGGAGGGGTCTGAGATGCTTCTTTCCCTGCATGTTTAGGGATAGATCAGGGAGTTGAGCATGTGCTATGAGGTCCTGTGTGTCCTGAGGGCAGGTCCTGTAGGAGCACAGTCAGCAGCCTCCAAGGGCCACCAGGACAGTGTTCCTGTGATGGAGGTGAGGGTGGCTCAGAAGGGCATTTGAGGGTGTCTGTCTGAGCAACTTTTGGTTAGAGATGAAAGGCCTTGGGTGCTGCTCTGGCCCTCAGCCAGGGGTGGTCCTCCACACACACTCACACACACAACTATATACACACACCTGGCTCCTCTGTAGGAGAGTCTTTCATACTCGACTTTCTATTTCCCAGGACTCCTTTGGTGGAAAACCCGCTGTCTGTTCATTCCATCCCTCAGTTGAGCCAGGCCCTGTGTGCCTGCTCTTGTACTCACAGGTCCCAGACACCATCTGGTTTCCCAGCGGGGTCAGTCCCAACCCTGTGGTCAGGGTGGAGCCTGCGTGACCGGTGGACCTCCAGCCCTGGGGGAGGTGGCATCTCCCTTACCTTGGTCAGGTGAAGTTTCCCTCCGGAGCCTCTGGTGCAGATAATGAGATGCTTTGAGAACAGGAAGCACTGTCGCTCACCCTCTTTCTTTAGGGACAGAGACCCCAGGCGTCCCCTCGTGATCTTGCCCTTTTCCGACATGGGCACCTGGATGAGAGAACCTGCGGATGGAGGAGAAAACCTGAGCCCCCTCCCAGGACGACCGTGAGCCCCTGGCCCTGGTTTGAAGGTTGGGGTGTCAGCGGCAGCAGCAGAGGCACAGGGCCATCCTAGTTCCTGTCAGCAAATGCCTGGGGACTCTCCTTCCAGCCCCTCCTCGGTGTGTGGTGGGGTGGGGGAGCCACCAGAGAAACTATGCAGGGTCCCTTGAACTTCCAGTCGGGGGGCCAGGGCCTTGGCTGCAAAGGAACCCTGAAGGGCTCGACCCATGAGGCAAGACTGAGGCTGCGTCAGGTCTGAGGGTGGCAGGGGCCGGACTAGTGGGGAGCTGGCTGCGGCCCCAGGGATGGGCAGGTTCCATCGCACTGCCACTCTCCCGCCACCAGACATCACCCGCCAATCACAGCACTTAGCTGCAGAGCCCAGACTGAGCCGAGTCCTCACAAGGTGCACCAGGAAGCCATTACTGGGCAGAGCAGGTGGCTGTGAAGAGACCCATTTGCTGTCCCTCTTCTGGTCCCACCCTGCCACACATGCTCCACTGGGCCTCCTTCCCCACTGGTCTTGGGATTCAGGCACACAAGGCCCCCGGTGGGATCTGACTATGGCGTGCCTCCCAGTTCCTCTTGTCATTGTCTCCAACCTCTGTGACAAACTTTATTCTAGGTCACATTGCCCTAAATGCCGCCCTGGGCCTGGAAAGCCTTCACTCCAGTGACACCATGACCTCTGTCTTCTCCTTCAAGCTCCACCTGTGCTGTCGCCTGGGGACAGCCATCATGGATGTGCTTGGCCACACTCAGCCTCCCACCTCAGAATGTCCACCTGGGCTGCTTCTCCGCTTCCGTCTCTTTCTGAGTCTACACAGGGGGCTTCTGGAGGCAGGGGCTGGCTCCTTCTCTGAGCAACCCCAGAGCCCCATGGAGGCCTGACCCGGACAGTGCAGGGGTCACTCACTGCTGGCTACATGACTCACACATGGGAAAGGGCTGGCTGGACTGCCTGTCCTGTCTGCAGTCCCCCCCACTGTGTGTGTGTGGGAAGCTTTGGCTCAGGTAATGGAGCAAATTCTCAGTGTGTGAGGGCACTGCCCACTCCAGGAGGGGCCACATTTTGGGTCACTTCCAAGACAAACCCAGTCTGAGGTTCCTTCTGAGAGGCCTATAGACACCATGTGGGGTGTTTCTTGCATAGAAAACACCCAGCACAGGACAGGGAGGCCAGGAGACCGGCAAGTTTGACTCTAGGCTCAGCATGTCACAGAGTGAGCCTGGGGAGGGCCACAGTGGGTCCTGGGAGCAAAATTCCAAGGATACCAGATCCATCCCAAGGACAGCAGGGCCAGAAGCAGCTGCATGGGCCATCGGGAGGCTCTGGTAAATTTTTCACAGTCAGAGTCTCTGGGCTGGGTAGACGGGGCTCTGGAGGCCCATCTGGAGGCAGCAGTCCCCTCTGGGGCATACGAGCCGGAGCTGAGTCTCCCACAGAACATGGAAGTTGAATGAGATGACCTTCAACTGTATTGCAGCTCTGAGGTCCCCAAGCTGGAAGTCAGAACCCTGGGCCAGGGCAAGCTGCACACCTGATCCTGCTGGAAGGTAGGCTGGGGCCACAGGGAGGGAAGCCCTTCTACCAGGAGACCCACTGTGGACACCGCCTTCCCTAGATGCAGAGGATGGTAAAGGACGGGGGCTGGCCCAGCACCCACCTCCTCTGGGTCACCGAGAACGCTTGTGACTCACGGGATGAATCGGTTTCCGTCCTCATCCCCTGTCTCATACTTTCTCCCCCCAAAGGACATGTCAGTGTTTACAACAGAAAACCCAAGGCCATCTGGGCAGACTCGTGTTTATCTCGGGAGAGAAGGAAACTGTGAGGACCAACCATACCCGCGCCTGGAGGTAGAGATTCCATCATCTGCAATCACCGCAGCAGGTTTGGGCACAAGGCAGAGCAGCCAAACCAAGTGGCGGTGTCCCTGAGTGTCACCTCCCTCCCACTGTGGGGCCAACTGGGGGTGGCGGGGGGAAGGGGAGTGCAGTCACTGCACCTTGTCTCACGAAGGTCTGGCTGGTGTCCAGGAGGATCTCACAGCCTTCGATGATCATGCGCTCGATGGCCAGGTTTTTCCGGATGTTCTCCGTCTCACTCACTTCGTCATGCATTATTCTGTGGCAACAGGGGTGACAGGGTCAGAGGAAGGCCACCCCACCTCCCAGGGAGGACAGAAGGCCGGGTCTATGGCCAGATCTAAGAAGAAGGGCCAGGAGCAGGGACTAACAGGCGGGACTCTAGGCATGAGGGGGAAGCGGTGTGCTTCTGTGAGCACCCACTGTGTGCCAGGTGCCTCACAAGTGCCACCTCATCCTTCTGACACCCTGAGGAGCCAGGGGGTTTATTTCAGAAAAAAGGCAATGAAAGCAGTTAGGAAGCAGGCCTGCCATACTTCAAAGTCGGAGCCATGTAGATCAGAGACAGCAGGCCCAGCCCCAACCCCAGAAGGGATGTGGGAGAATGGGGGACATCATTTTTTCATTACCTTGCCCTTCATCCCCTTCTGTTCTTACTCTCATTCACAGAACAAAGCTCATTCCTACCTCAGGGCCTTTGCATTTACAGTTTTCTCCTCCTGAATACTCTCTGCATATCCTTTTTTTCTTTTTAATATCCCCCTCCCATTAACTCAGGAGTGCTCTACCTTTGAGCTACATTCCCAGCCCTTTTTGAAACAGGGTCTTGCTAAGTTGCTGAGGCTGGCCTTGAACTTGGAATCCTTCTGATTCAGCCTTTAGACTTGCTGGGATTATGCACCACCACACCTGGATCCTGATTTTTATATGGTTGTCTCTTCAATGTTGCTCAGATCCAGGAATGGTTATTTTTCTGTAGTGCCTGGTAATCCAGCTGGCTCAGGGGAAGACCGGTTCCAGCTTGCTTTCCTGGGCTCTGGCCCTTCTGGGAAGGAATGTAAGCCACTTTCATTTGTCCCTGTTCTGATTTCTTGCAATATCCATAATTTCCAGGAGGTGGCGCCATTTAACTGCTTTTTAAACAGCATTGGTGGTAAAAGATGGGTGTTGGAGGCCAATATTGCCTTGCCTTGTTTCTAGGATTCTTAGGAAAGTAGTGAGTAATGTGTGTGTGTGTGTGTGTGTAGGGGGACTCTGGAAAAGTATTCCACTTACTTACTCTAAGAAGAGCACAAAGTCTTTTGAAATCCTACAATTTTAAGTCCACCCAGGGGCAGGTTGATAAGTGTGGCTTAGAGTTCTCTTGCAGATGCCATCCAGGTTAGCCCTCACAAGGATGAAAGATGACCGCACTTGAGCGGTCTCTGTGATGCACTGAATCAGCATTACCTTGAGCAAATTACTCAAGCCCTCTGATCCTTACTTAGTGCCCTCATCTGTAGGATGTTGGGATGAAGATGGAAGAGAGAATATTTCAGGGACCAGCCCCAAGCCTGGCACTTGGTAGGTGCTGTAGTCAAGGACAGTGATCATTGTCTCTGTTGTCACTGGTGGAAAATAAATATCAGTTTTTTCCCCCCCTGGATGGGGACTAGCATTTCAGGCATGAACTCACTCAACAGTTTATCAGTCTGGGGCATCAAATGGAATCTTTTCTTCAGGAGCCTCAGTTCCTTCCTAGAGAGGGACTCCATTTTGAAAGAGCCAGTGGTAATGAGATCTCTTGGGGAGGGTGGGGAAGGCTGTACTCGATAAAACATAAAGGGGAGATTGTAAAATAGCAAAACTCATTTTTCCTGTAGGACATGAACAAACAGTAGCTGGCGAGGATAAGTGCTGCCCCAGGCTGGGGTTTGTGATGGGGACCCTGCGTGAACACAGTTTGAAAACTCTGGGGGGCTTCTGGGGGACCTGGAAGTGATGCCTTGGGTTATTAGTCAGGATATAGGGGTTTAGGATAGAAGGAAAAATTCAGGCCCAGTCCCTAGAGAGGACCAGTCTTTCTGAGCACAGCTGGGGAGGGGGTTGGCCATCTTGCTGGCTTCCTGCTGGACAGAGAGCTTTCCTCAGCTGCCCTGTGGGAGGGGGAGAGGAGAATGAAAGGGCTGTGCCATTCCTATATGTCACCAAGGCTGGGTTCTGGTCAGGCATAGGTGGAAGAAAGCAAGCAGGCTGCAAACCCAGGATCGGAGGAAAGAAGATCAGGGTCTTAGGCCTTGTGCGCCTGTACCCATTTGCACCAGGGCAGGGCATTCCTCCTAAGCCCTCTCCCTTGGACAAGGGTGTGCAGGATTTGGGTCCCTGGGCACCGTTCTTTCTTCCTTCCTGCCAATGATTTTGTTCCTCTGCAGGCTCACCATGCAGAAGACATCCTGGTCCTGATTCTCCAACCAGAGACTGTAACTCAGCTGGGTATTGGAAGGATCCAGGGAAGGCTGTACCCCGGTCCAGCCCGTTCCTTCCTCTGTGCAGCTATAAGCAGTGGCCTGACTGGCTGTCCCCTGTTGTACTCAGGAAGCTGTCAGGGGACTGAGTGGACCCCACCCCCTGAAGACCTACCTCCTTTGCAGCCTTTGCCAGCCCACTTCTGACCACAAGGCCCATTCTCATGTCTTGCTTTCTTCCACCTCCACACAGTGGAAGCCCTGGTACCCACTTTTTGGTTCCTGTGTTTTTATCCTTAAACTCACTCCCTTGGCCATCTTACCAGTGCTGTGACTTTAAATCCCATCTCCAAGCTGATGACTGACAATATCTCTCAACTCCAGACTCCAATGCCCTTCCTGCTTGCCCCCTGCACTTGGACATCGCATCAGCATCTTCAAGTTCAAGGTGCTCCCCAAGCAATCTCCTGAACTCCTCCCCATCCCCCTGCAAGTCTGTCCCTCCCGCAGTTTCCTCCATCTCAATTAATAGCAATTCTACTCCTGGTTGCTCAGCCCAAAGTTCTGGAATCACCTTGACTCTATTCTTTCTTTCACCTCCCTCCCCCAATCTAACCCATCAAGGAATCCTTGGTTCCACCTTCAAGCTACATCCCGAATCTGACTCCTCTCAGCCTCCACAGGCACCACCTGGTGCAGGTTGTCATCACCTGCTGCCTGAGGTGTTGCAGAGCCTCCCTTGGGCTGTCTGCTCCTCCCCTTGCAGAGGGAGGTCCCTTTGGGTGACAGTGAGCCAGGTGAGGGACTCTGAATGAAAGACCAGGAGGACCAGGAATTGGACAGCGATGGGCTTATGTATCACTGTCACCACTTGCGGCTGACTGGAGCCTTGGGCACATGAATGCCTGTCACCCAGGACCCACTCTGGGGGTCCTGCCACTCCAGGTTTTGATACACTGACAGTGAAGAACAGAAGAAATGGGCAGAGTCCCTGGGCAGCTCCTTCTCCTGGGAAATGACCCAAGGGAGTGTCCAGAGCCCTTCCTCAGATCCCACCTGTGCAGGGACAGGGCCCCACCCATGCCATCCCCACTTAGTGACCACCTAAGCTTAAGATGCTAACCCCAGAGGTTACTCCAGGTGACTCAGCTTGGAGGGGCCCCACCCTCACATCCTGGAACCCGAGGGTCATCCTCAGCGTGCCCCACTGCTGCCTGGTGCCTGCAGGCAGGGGCTCACCTGGACAGCTCCTCCAGTTTGGACTTGGCGTAATCCAGGCTGTTGCGCTCCACGTGCTCATGGGGCGTGTGGGCCAGGAGCTCGTGCAGCGTCAGGATGTACCTGGGGATCTGCGGGCATCAGGGGAGAGGCAGGGAGATGGGAGGTAGCGGGGGATGGAGCAGAAGAGGGATGGGGCAGGGAGCAAGAGAGAGACCGAGTGGACAGACAGGGATGAAAAGCAAGAGAGGCAAACACAGTGCTCTCAGCGTGGGCGCTTCCACCACCCGACCACAGATGTGCTCTGACCCTGAGGAGCCTCGGTGGCCTGTCTGAGCTCTGCTCTGGCAGAAGGTAGGACCTGGGTGGTGGCTTGGGAGCCAGGAGTAAAGGGTCCCCATGGCTGTCTCAAGAGCTGCCCCTCACCTTCCCTCACTTCCCGAGGGGACAGGCCTATCAGTGGTCAGCTTGCTCTTGCTGTCAGGGTTGGGGGCTGAGGGCCGACCCTACTCCATCTTCCAGCCAGGACTGGGGTATGTGCCAAGGACTGTGTCCTCTCAGCTGCGGCCTTCGAGTGTGGCTCCCAATGCCCCCTGCTTCCCCCCAGCGTGCCCTTCTTGCTGGCAGATCTGGGGCAGCCACCTGGAACATGGGGTAGGTGAGGAAGGTCTCCAGGGTCCTCTCCTCGCAGTCCGGCTTGGCCTCGTAGTGCTTCAGCAGCTTGTCAAAGTCGCGGTTCTGCTTGCAGTGCGCCAGGATCTGCAGGCTGTACTGGTGGTTGCGCACGAACTCTTGGTAGATGTTGAGCATGGGCAGCAGGATGTCGAACAGGTCGGCTGGAAGGAGGGTGGGGTCAGAGGGTGACTGACGGCACCCTGGGAGAACCTATCCTGCAGCCACTCATGTGGCTATAGAAAGATCCCTGCCTTTGGGGGTGACAAATACCTCTGCCCTACTCAGAACCAGAGAGGTGGGCTCAGCCACTGGACCACATTAGAATCACAGATGTTTGGAGACAAGGCTGTCTATGTCACACCTGTGAGAGGGCATGTATAGGGCACGTTGTCAGGTGTGGCCTGTACCCCCTTCAGAATCCAGGTGCTCATTCCCCAGTGGCCAGGAGTGCTGGTGGCTGGGTTCCCTCTGGGAATTCCTTTCAACTGAAGGAAGCTGCCTTGCCCAGGTCCTACCCATCTCATATGGTCCCCTGCATGGCAGCCTGGTTCTTTGCTCCACCTATCCCATGTCCTCACTTACCCACCACTGTCATTGCTGAGGGTGCTTCCAAGAGCCCCCGTCTGAACCCTGCAGTCTTTGACAGAGTGAACCATCTGAAGTCACAGGGTCAATCAGAACTGGCCTGGAGCTGGGTCTCCTGACTTCCCCATTCCAAAGCCTTCCCACTCCATCCTCCCTTAGCCCCTCTGTCTGTCAGTCCTTGTCCTAGGACCTCCCAGGTTTACCTAGTGGTTCCCTTATGGCCCATTCTATCTTGGGTATAGACCTTGTCCTCCCAGACCCCCAAATTCCAACCAGTCTCCTTAAACCTGCCCTCCAACATTTGACAGGATGGGCTGGAGCCCTGTGGAATTTTCCCTTATGAACTAGGTTTCCCGCCGTAGGCTCTATGTGACAGCTCCTAGAGCAGGCGTCCCACTGCCTGGTAGAGTGTCTGCTGCAATGTGACTGCAGGAGAGGCAGACCCTGTCTTTCTGGAGACACTTCTTATTTGGAACCCAGAGAAAAGCAGGGCTGTTTGCTTTTGAGATACACAAAAAGAGTGCCCGTCCAGAGGCCTTTTAGCTGGGGCTTGGAGAGCTGTGTCTGATCCGTGTCAGTGGCCTGCACTCATATGAACCGTCCCCTCCTGGAACCGTCCCCTCCTGGAACCGGTTTCTTGTCTCCAGAGTGGAGATGCCTCCAACACTCATCTTTACCTACCCAACTGGGAAAATGCCAAAAGAAAAAAAAAAAAGATCATGCCTGGTGGGTCACGGGAGCAGGACCAGGTCCTGCCATCCCTCACTCTGGGTACCCGGGCAGTGCAGTCCTTCTCGGACCACAAGTAGACAACAGGGTTGAAGCCAGAACCTTTAACACATTTATACCTTTTCATTTCAGTGATTCTACTTTTGGAAACCTATCCCAAGAAAATGGCCTCTAACATGGAGAAAACTTCATAGGCAGAGACAATTATGTCTGAAAATAACAATTTGGAACAACTCTAAAAGCCAACAATGAGAGCCAGTTGCACAGGATAATGGTCACATGCAGGGAACACTGAGAATACTGTCAGTCCTTGTCCAGCGACACTTTCCTGAAGCATTAATATGGTCAATAAAATCTTTCAGCATGAGAAAGCACTTCTGTTAAAATGTTGAGCAAAAAAAAAAGATCAAAACAACTCTGCAAGAATCACACTCTATAATTCAGCATGTTTGCAATTATGTAAAATGGGGAAAAAAAACCCCTTAGGATCTATGTACAGAAGAAAAACACTGGAGTGTTTATAGTGGATATCTTTGAGAAGCAGAATTATGGGTGATATTTTTAAGCTTTTTCTACTTTTCTGGGTTTTCAAATGTTCTCAAATGGGCATATGCACATTATTTTTAAAAAGGGAAAAGTGGATTAAAAAAACTAAAAATATATTACTTCCTCTTAGAAATATGACTTGTGACAACTTGGCTGTCTTCTTCCACCACCGTCGAGGGTGTCTGGGTTTGTAGGGTGACACTCTGATGCTCTGGAAGGACAGAGCTGCCTCCGTCTTGGGGGGTGGCATCAGGAGAGGGATGGGCTGGGGCATCTTCGAGGGCTGGCTACTCACCCAGGACCAGCGTGGGCCAGCTGGAGATGCGGGCCTTCAGGCCTTGGTAGAAGATCTGATGCAGAAACATGATGGTTTCACTGAAAGAGAAAGCACAGCGTGAGCTCTGGCCAGGGACTTCCTGCTGCTCCCAGGCATGTGGCACTCTGCAGCGACACTTTCCTCAGGGGAGACTTTCTGTGAGAACTCCATCAGCTGGATGGACCAGACAGAATGTGAGGCCCAGCGCCAAACAAATACGGGGCCCCTTGTGAAAAAAGGACTAAGCACCTCAAGATGGGGACTGCAGAGTGTTCAGCCAAGCAGAGGGTCACCTGCCCGTGAAGAGGGTGGAGGTGGGGGTTGTTCTGGCCCATGGCCTCTGAGTCTTCTCGGATCCCACTCGTGGGGGTGCCCCCTGAGATACATGGAGGGAGCCAGGGATCTGTAGGTAGTGGCCCTGACGATGTGAAGATTCAGGGCGTGGGACCCACTCAGGGCTCAGATCTGTCAGCCACATGACCCCAGTGAGGGGCTTCCTGCCTCTGAAGTCCAGTCCTTCTGTGTAAAACAGGAGGGTGAAATGAAGAAGCTCCTGCAAACAATGGGTGACGTGAGTGCCACGGGTATCACAGGTGCCCAGCAAACGCTGCCCCCTTTTCGGACTTTTGGTAAGTCTGAAAAGCCAAAATACCCTGCTTGGGCACTCCACATGTGCCCTGGGAATGCGGTGTTCTTATTGGCAGCTAAGCCCTGGCAGGGAAGGCCCCTGAGCACTCACTCCGTGGGCATCAAGCTGGCCTTGGCCCCTCCCTGCCTCTTTCCATGCCCACTTCTCTCCAAGAAGCTGGTCCCAGAGAACAGCCTGAGCCCTCTTCTGCCCAGACAAGCTGTGAGCACAGAGAGAGCACCAGAAAGAAGCTACCTTGCCGTATCACCTCCCTCACTGCTGCCAGCTCTAGCTCCCAACACCTGGGGACCTGGGGGTTCCCCCAATGTGTCTGGGAACTTCACAGTGCACCCCATTTACGGATAGAAAAACTGAGGCTCAGAGAGGGAGAAGGAAAGCCCCTGAGAGTCACGGGCGGTCCTGGCCCTGCCGGCCTGTCTCCCTACCCCGGGAATGTTCTCATCTTTCTCTGCCACATTCTCCACGGCTGTGCTCTCTGTTCCCTCCCTCCTCTGTGCTTCCCCAGTGCTGGTGTTTTCCACTTTGGGAGGCAGTCCTTTGATGCTGTCCCCTCTCCCAGCAGTCTGTGCTCTGACAGCCACTGGAATCCCCAGGTCTCCCTGCCTCCGCACAAGAGCTGGCAGGGAGGGGCTGAGAGAGCGGAGAGGCCCTGAGCTGCAGCGGAGGTGGAGGAGGCTGTGCGCAGAGGGGCCCCTAGACGTCAGAGGCTCATGACCCCGGTGGGCTTGCAATGTCCAGTGCATCCCGCTATGTAGAGAGACAGGTGGGGAGAGGCAAGAGGGGGTGGGGAGGCTAGGGATAGAAGGAGCAAGAACACACACCTCCAGGCTGAAGGGCAAAGCTAGGAACTCCCTTGTGTTCCAGAGAACGTATAGAAGGAAAGGAAAACTTAAAGACTGAAACAAGACCCTTTTTTTTCCTAAGTAGAGAAGACTTTTCCAGTTCTTATTTCAAAGTGTGGATCTTATCATTACTGTGAGTTGTCATCTGTCAACTCCCTAAAGTTCCAAGTAAAAAGGGTCCCTCCAGGGATAGCAACACTTAGCAAGGCCAGTTTCCCTCTGGGGTGGGCCTCAAACTAGATTATGGAATGAATAAACTTGTACCAATTTTAAGAAAAAAATTTTGACCACCTGTGAAGATCCTTTAAGACCAAGACACTCAGCCAGGGGTTCAGGAGAGTGTGGAGGGGACAGAACCAAGAGCATCTAGGCTGAGTGGGTGGCAAGGCAGTCAAGGGACTTTCAGGAGTTCCTGACAGAGCCATACGTAGGATCCTGACATGTATCTAGATCTTTCTAGATAACCCTGAACACTGCTACAACAAGATTCAGGGAAGCCACTCCCAGGCAGTTGTGGCAAATAACTGTGGAGGACTCATCAGGGAGGAAATGAACTTTCTTAATTCCAACCCTGCTCAGGCTTGCACAGAGCAAATCAGGATCATCATGAGCTAGAACCACAAAAATACACAGGCATGCCCTGGAGATATGGCAAGTTGGGCTCCAGATGACTATAATAAAGCAAACAGGTCAATAAGGCGAGTCACGTGATCTTCTGTTTTCCCCAGAACAATATTGTTCTGTTGACACTATACTGCCATCTATCAAGGGTGCAACAGTATTGTCTTAAAGTGTACATACTCTAATTAAGTCCTTCATTGCTAACAGATGCTCATGATGATCTCAGCCTTCAGTGAGGGGTATTCTCTCTGCTGCTGGAGGGTCTTACCTGGCTGTGAATGGCTGCTGACCGATTAGGGTGGTGGTTGCTGAAGGCAGGGGTAGCTAAGGCAATTTCTTAAAACCAGACAATGGTGGAGTTTGCAGCATAGATAGACTCTTTTCATGAAAGATTTCTTTATAGCATGCGATGCTATTTGATGGCATTTTATCCAAAGAACTTCTTTCGAGATTAGAGTCAGTCTTCCCAATCCCTGCTGGTTGCTTTATCAACTAACCTTATGTTAAACATTCTAAATCCTTTGTCACCTCAACAATGTCCTCAGCATCTTCTCCAGGAGCAGAGTCTATCTCAAGGAACCACTTTCTTTGCTCATCCACAAGCAGTAAACCCCTGTCCTATCAACAGATCACAGCAACCCAGTCCCATCTTCAGGGTCCACCTCCAGGTCCAGTGCTCTTGCTATTTCCACCACATCTGCAGTTTCTTCCTCCACCGAAGTCTTGAACCCCTTGAAATCTTCCATGGGTGTAGGAATCAACTTCCTCTGAATTATTGATGTTGATACTTGGATCTCTTCCCATGAATCATGAGCGTTCCTATTGGCATCTAGAATGGTGAATGCTTTCCTGAAGTTTTTCCATTTACTTTGTGTTTCCATCATTTTTTGTGTCATTGTGATCAAAATTCCTGACAAGAACAACTTAGAGGAGGAAGTTTATTTGGAGCTCATGGTTTCAGAGGTCTCAGTCCGGAGATGGCTGACTCCACTGCTCTGGGCTCAAGGTGAGGTAGCACATCATGGGGGAAGGGCCCAGAGAAGGAGAGCTGCTTAGCTCATGGCAGGGTCAGGAAGCAGAGACGGAGAAGGGGCACAGGAAAAATGATCCTTCCAGGGCCCACCCCCAGTGACCCAACTCCTCCAGCCATGCCCCACCTGCCTACTCTACCACCCAGTCCATTCAGACTAGGATGGACTGATCAGGTCTCAGCTTTCACAAGCTAATCATTTCACCTCTGAATATTCTTTTTTTTTTTAAAGAGAATTTTTTAATATTTATTTTTTAGTTTTCAGCGGACACAACATCTTTGTTTGTATGTGGTGCTGAGGATCGAACCCAGGCCGCACACATGCCAGGCGAGCGCGCTACCGCTTGAGCCACATCCCCAGCCCTCACCTCTGAATATTCTTGCATTAACAGGAGCCTTTAGTGGACACCTCATACTCAAACCATAACACTTTTCCCAGAGGAATCACTACTAATGTCAGTATGCATTTCTTAAATAAAACAATTTGAAAGTCAAAACAACTCCATGATCCATGGGCTGCAGACTGGATGTTGGGTTTGCAGGCATGAAAACAACATTGGTCACATTGTACATGTCCATCAATGCTCTCAGGTGATGGGGTACATTGTCAATTGTGATATATATATATATATAAAACTTTTATGTGGTGCTGCAGAATGAACTCAGGGCCTCATGTGTGTGAGGCAAGCGCTCTACCACTGAGCCACAATCCCAGTCCAACGGCATAATATTTTGAAAGGAATCTTTTTTTTTTTTTTCCTTCTGAGCAGTAGGTATCGACAGCAGACTTGAAATATGCTGTAAATCATGTTGTAAGCGGATGGGCTGTCACCCAGACTTCGTCCATTTGTTGACAACAGATAGAATAGATTTAGTATAATTTTCAAAGCATTAAATGAGCATTGGATTCAACTTGAAGTCCCCAGTGGCATTAGCTCCTACCAAGTCAGCCTTGTCTTTTGAAGCTCTGAAGTTCAGGCATTGACTTCTCCTCTCTAGCTATGAAAGTCCTAGATGGCATCTTTTTTTCAGTAGAAAGCTGTTTCATCTGCATTGAAGCTGTTTTGTGTAGCCACTTTCACAGCTATTTAAAGTCGGCTGGATAACTTGCTGCGGCTCCCACATCAGCACTTAGCTTCACCTTATTATGGAGAGGGCTTCTTTCCCCCTAAACCTCACGGACCAATCTGTCCCAGCTCTACACATTGGTTCTGCAGCTTCCTCACTTCTACCCATCTTCATAGAATTAATGGCAGTAATTGGGGTCTTGCTCTGGATTAGCTGCTGGCTGGTTTGGTCTTCTATCGAGAATGCTCAAACTCTCTCTGTATCAGCAATAGGGCTGTTTGCCTTCTCATCATTCACATGTTCACTGGAGTAGCACTTTCAATTTCCTTCAAGAACTTTCCCCTTGCTTTCACAACTTAGCTCACTGCTGGGTGCAAGAGGCTTGGCTTTCAGACTACGTCAACTTTCAACAGGCCTTCCTCACAGAGCTTAAGCATATCTTGTTTTTGATTGAAAATTGTGACATCTGTGTCTCTTCCTTTCACTTGAACATTAGCGGCCACTGTAGGGTATTGTTATATCTCAAGGATTAGGGAGGCCTGGGGAGAGGGAGAGGGGCAAAGCAAGAGCCATTGATGGAATAGTCAACACACTCAACATTTATCAGTGAAGTCCACAAACTACCCAAACAGTAATATCCATGACCGCTGATCACAGCTCAACATAATAGACAAAATAATCATAAAGCCTGAAATATTGCAAGAGTTACCAAACATGACACAGAGACACAAAGTTAGCATATGCTGTTGGAACAATGGCTCCCACAGTCTTGCTTAACACGAGGTTGCTACAAACTTTCCATTTGTGAAAAATGGGACATCTAGAAAGTGCACCAAAGCACAGGGAAAT